TGTTCTCTGCTCAGGGATGACGGCTGGTGGACTCAGGAAACCATGAGGAGGTTTGAGGGATCGCACGTAGGCTAGCACCCCCAAAAGGCAAGGACCTAAGAACCTCACGCGCTGAACTGTCTCTCCAGCTCCAAACTCCTTGCTTTGGCTCCGTGGGATGAAGGGACATTCCATTCCCTGCAGGCGTAGAAACATCCCCAAGTGCCCTATCGTGCTTGGACCAAATGAGCTGAGGGGGAGGGGGGAGTTTAGGAGCAGATGACGACGAAACAGGACGAGGAGAGACCCCGGGCACACCGCCCCTCTGCGTTCATGCACATACACACAGCACATGCCTTCAGACTCTCAAACACGCACGCACACACACACGCACACACACACGTACGCACTCGCGCTCACTCCCACATATGCACACACCCTCAGACGTGAGTCTGTATCTTTCGCACAGCATCTGCTCAGGGCTGGGGTTCCAGAGGAAGAGTTTACAGGGTGTGTCAGGCCGGGCTTCCCACAGGCAGCTGGCACAGAACCCCGATCGGGGATGGGCACTGCCCTGTGCCCGGGGTGAGGCCCCCAGCAACGCCCAGGAGAGGGCCTCGCGTTCTCAGGCGCCTCTCTTTCCTACCGAGGCCGGGGCAATAGCACGGCGGGCCGGGCGCTTGCCTTGCATGAGCTGCCCTGGGTTCGATCTCCGACACCCTGTATGGTCCTGGGAGTCCTGCCAGGAGCATCCCTGAGCACCGCTTAATATGGTTCTAAAACCAAACTAAAGCCAAACTGCCCTATTAGCCTGGGGGTCGGGAGGCAGCCTGCTCCAATAGTGGGGGATCTGCCAGAGGGAGCCCCTGAACTCCCCACAACACCCCCCCCCCACGGGGCTCTGTCCTGCTGGTGCTCCGGGCAATTTCCCTGGGGCTCCTTTGTGCTCTAGGAAAATGCAGGTTTCCTGAGAGCACGTGCTCCCAGTCATGCTGGAGCTTCAGGCTCCTGCAGCTGAGCCCCACAGGGATCCCCCCACACACCTCGCGGTGTCCCCCCGTGCCCCCCGCTGTTCTCTCCTGATCTCCACCTGTGCGCACCAGCCTCGGCTCGGGCTTCCCTTCGGCTCTCTGCCGCCCCCGCGTGGCTTCCCCCGGAAGTGCGGGTCTCGGGCAGCGACCCGCTCGGGGGGCCGAGGGGAGCCCGTTGAGACCCCCGCAGTGCTCTCATCCCTGAGGCCAGCCCAGGGGGGCCCCTCTCCCGTGCCCACTCCTCCCCGCGCCACCTGCACGCTGAGCGAGGCTCTGCTCACACCTCCCGGCAGCCTGAGTTCCGCCCCGGGGAGGACCCCGGCCTCCCTGGCCGAGGTAGCCGCCCCCACCCACTGTCCAGGGGCCCCCTCTGCCCCCCCCCACTTCCCCTGCGCTCCCCACCCAGGCCTTGCCAGCAGGCAGGAAGGAAGCTGCTCATAGCGGCGAGGGTGGGGCACTTCCAGCTCACACTCAACAACCCCGGTTGGACCAGAAGGAGTCGGGGCTTCCGCTCCCCTCGGCCACCACCCCCGCCTGGGGACCCCTGGGGCCCCCTCACACTCCCCGGGCCAGGACTGGCCCTCCCCAGCGCCAGCATCCCTCCCCCCCCCCCAGTCTCTTGCCTGGGAGGGCACAAGCAAGATCTAGCACCTTTCTTCTGAGGGAGCAGGAGGTAGGCGCTGCACCCTCCACGCAGGGTCCTAGCAAGCCCCTTCCCATCAGTCTGGGGGTCTGCGATAGGGCCGGCCTCTTCACAGGCAGGAAGCCCAGCGCCAGACACTCATATCCCAAATGTCTAAGGCCACTTCCAATCTGAAATCTCACGACTGAAAATGTCAGTTCTAGGGACTGGAGCGATAGCACAGCGGGGAGGGCGTTTGCCTTGCACGCTGCCGACCCGGGTTCGATTCCCAGCATCCCATATGGTCCCCTGGGCACCGCCAGGAGTAAGCCCTGTGCTTTGCCGGGTGTGACCCCCCAAAAAAAGGTAAATTCTAGGGTCCTACAGCGGGTGGGGCACTGGCCTCGCACGCAGCCAATCTGGGTTTAATCCCCGGCATCCCGTTTGGTCTCCCCTGAGCACTGCCTGGTGTGATCTCCAAGTGCAGAGCCAGGAGTCAGCCCTGAGTGCAGCCAGGGGTGGCCCCAAACCAATGAAAACCAAAAATCACCCAATTCTAGGGACGGGAGATGATGCAAGGATTAGGGCGGGCCCCATAGCACTGGGGCTGCGGCCTGGGACCCCCAAGCAGCGACGCGGGCCCAAGCAGTGCCACATCCTGGGACCCAAGCCCTGAATTACCGACACTTTTGACTGAGTCTCACCAAGAAGGGTCCCCAGGCCCCTGAGCACTGTTAGAAGACCCCCAAAGTAAATCGATTAAAACTCAACTGGTAGAACTGCAAGCTTGCAGGTCTTGAGCATTTGGGGGTTTCTTGGTATTGGCTGTCCATTGTGGGGCCACGCCAGCCTGTGCCAGGGGTCACACCCAGGGCCTTGAGCACGCAAGGCTTGTTGCCTGTCCTTGAGCCACTTCCTGGTCTTCGGCTCTTAGTGAGTTGTTTTCCCCCAGAAATAAGTCTTTTTTTTTTTTTTTTGCTTTTTGGGTCACACCTGGCGATGCACAGTGGTTCCTCCTGGCTCTGCACTCAGGAGTTACTCCTGGAGGTGCTCAGGGGACCCTATGGGATGCTGGGAATCGAACCCGGGTTGGCTGCATGCAAGGCAAACACCCTACCCGCTGTGCTATCTCTCCAGCCCCAGAGAAATAAGTCTTGAAACGACCCTTTTAGAGTGGTCAATTCTGAGTCGCCTGAGCAGGCGACCCTAGAGAAGGAGGTGGGCATTGACCCCCCCCCAAAAAAACAGTGAGAGAGTAACGGGAGCTGTCAGGAGCGTCGAGGAACAGAAGCGCAGAGTCCCAGGCCGTGAGTCCCCCCAGGCCCGAGGCCCCTGCCCTGTGTCACCCCCGTCATCCCCCAAGCCTGCGACCCCCCGCCCTGTCCCCCCCCACCCCGCCGTCAGCCTGCTCCCTTTGCCCAGGCCCCTCCGTTTGCTCCACACCCCTGGGCGGCTGTGGGCGCTTCTTCGCAGATGAGCAAGTGGGTGGGGGGACCTGAGGGGCAGGACAGGGTCTCCCAGCGCACAGGGAGAAGCAGCCCAGGGCCCTCCTGGTGGCAGGTGCAGAGCATGGCTTTCGGGGACACTGAGGGCCAAGGTGGAGGTGGGGGTGGGGTCCTCCCGGAAGCATCCAGGAAGGAGGCAGAGCACAGAGGGAGGGAGTGGGGGGCGGGAGGGGCAGGGGTGAGGAGGAGGAGGCGGCAGCTGCTCCAGAGGCTGCTCGAAGACCCCTTCCGCACAGTCCGGGGCTCCCGGCCGGTCGGAGCACCCCAGGGTGCATGTAACCCTGGCGGTCCCTGCGTGCTCTGCCATTGGCCATCTGGGCGGTGCCCATGGAGGGACCCCAACCCCCAGCTGCACAGCCAGGCCTGGAGGAAGGGGAAGGAGTTGAGTCAGGGGGCCAAGGCCAAGGTGACAGGGACCACGGAGCCCTGGCCGAGCGGGAAAGGCGGGGCTGTTTGGGAGGAAGCCCGCGTGTAGAGGAGGCTGTGTTGGGGGAAGGCGGGCCAGGCCGGGGGTCCCGAGTTGCCTTGGCCGAGGGTGCGGGGCAGCAAGCGTGAGGTAAACCTGCTTCTGAGCTGGAGCTGGGGGGAAGATCTCAGGAAGAGGTCAGCAGACTGGCCCCACTTGGCTGCAGTGGCTTTGCCCCTCTGGGGTCCACTGGCGCTGGACAGGGCCTCTCAGCACACACAGCCCTCACAGGGGGCAGAGTCTGAGTCAACCAGACCCATCCCCCTCCCAGATGGCCAGTGGGGGGCGGATGGGGGGGCAGGGCCTGGAGCCCCGACCCACACTGCCAGCTGCTCAAGGTCAGGTCTGGCCCAGGCCCCTTCCTCCTCCCTCAGACTGGCACACCCCTCCTTCATGTTGACCCCAGAGGTCACAGCACAGCTCGTTCTTCCAACTGCTCCGCCCCCACCCCCCAGGCCCACCCCAGGCCGCACCGCCCCTGCCGGTCAAGGGAGTCCAGCCAACACAAACCGACGTGTCCAGCCGCCGGCCTGGCCTGTCCGCCACTCCCCATCTGCAGCTCCGTCTCTCAACTTCCTCTTCCTTCTCCCGGGCCCCCCTCCCGGTCCTTGCTCTCTGGGACCCATGAGACGGCCCCTGTGGACCCCAGGACTGACCCTCGAGCCCGTCTCCAGCCCCTCGAGGGTTTGGAACTACAAGTCCCAGCAGGCGTCGGGGCCCGAGGCGCCTGAAGAGTCCTGGTTTGCCCCCACTTGCATTCTGGGACTTGTAGTTTCCCCGACCCAGACTCCGGGAGGCCCCAGCATCTCCCGAGTGGGCAGTGCTGGCCGGTCACCCCCAGGGAAGCGTGCGTCACTGGATGACAGGGTGGGGGTGGAGGCCCTGATGGCAGCTTCCTGCCCCTTTGTGTCCCCCCACTTGAGTCATGGGGGCGGGGGTTCCAGGAAATCGGGGCTGGGAGGAGAGGGGGTACCCAGCGCCAGGCCCCGGGGGGCGAAGGGTCGCCGCCTCCCTCTGGGCCTGCGACCCCAACCCCCCGGGGAAGGGGTCCAGGTGCAGGGCGGCCGGGCACGACCCCCAGGGTCTCGGGGACGAGGGAGCGCCCGACCAGGCCTCGCTGGCGGACCCCGCGACGGCACCCGAGGGCCCGCTGAGCCCCCCGCCCGGACCCCCGCCAGCCCAGGGCCCACCCCAGGGCGCCGCCGGGCACCTGGGCTCCCACTTTATCAGCTCCAGTCCCCGGAGCGGAACCCGGCGTCCGGCCCGGCCCCTCCCGCCGGCCCGGTTCCTGCCCCATTGTGTGCGGGCCGGGGCGGGGCGCGCCCGGAGCCCCCTCCCACCGCCCCCTCCCCTTCCTAAGGAAAAGGCCCCGCCGCGGGCCGGCCGCCCCAGGCGCCATGGGCAACCTCAGCAGCGTGGGCCGGGAGCCGGGGCCCTGCGGCCTGGGGCTGGGGCTGGGCCTGGGGCTCTGCAGCAAGCAGGGTCCGGCCTCGCCCGCGCCCCCCGAGCCCAGCCGGGCCCCCGCGCCCGCGCCCGCGCCCGCGCCCGCCCCGCCGCCTGCAGCCGACAGGTGAGGCCCCCGGAGCAGGTGCAGGAGGGCCAGGCTTGTGGGGAGGCGGGGGAGCCTGCGGCCACCCACTCTGAGGGTCTCCGTGCGGAATCGGGGTCAGAGTCAGGGTGCCCGCCGCCAGGGCTGTCGCCCAGAGCTGTGTGTCTTGGGGCAAGTGGCTCACCCTCTCTGATCTCCATTCGCATGAGCTCTGAGCCAGGGGTGGGGGGTGGGGGGATACTAGGTAGTGTGACCCCTAGGTCCCCACAGCCCGTCAACCAGCAGCAGGGAGGGTTGGAGGATTGTTTGACTGGAGAAGCCGGCCAGGAGGGCTGCCTCCTCCGGGCGAGAACAGGGCCCTGGCCCCGTCCGTAGTCGGGGAGCCCAGACCCGAGCCCTGGCCCCTGGCCCGCGTCCCTCTCGAGTGACCATCAGCCCCCAAAACTGCCGCAGCTGTCCAGGCCCCGGAGGCGTCTCGGGGAAGGCCAGATGGGGGCCAGACTGGGGGGCTGTCGGGGTTGAGGCTGCGGCCACGGCCCTCCCTTCCTCCCGCTGGGCCGGGGCTCTGGAGGAAGTGATAAGGCCCGCTCCTTCACGCCGGCTCGGTCAGCAGGGCCCGGAGCCAGGAGGGAAATCAGGGAAATCGGGGCTTCCTCGGCGGAGCCCGGGAGCCCTGCAGGCGGGCGGGACCCGGGGGGCCCGGCGAGACCCCCAGCCCGCACGGAGGCCTGGTGCGGCCCCTCCCGGGGACGGGGACAGGAAGAAAGCAGACGCAGGCGGACAGCCCCCCGCGCCCCTGAAGGAAGAAGCAGCCCAGTGACCCCTCCCGGTTCCCCACAGCCCCCTGCTCTCCCGGTCCCTGGAGGGACCCAGGTTCCCCCGAGTGAAGAACTGGGAGGTGGGGAGCATCGCCTATGACACGCTGAGCGCCCAGGCCCAGCAGGTAAGGGAGGGGCCAGTGCCCCCGGCCCAGCGGGCTGGGGGGTGTCCGAAAGTGGGGGGACTGGGGCCAGAGAGACGGGACAGTGGGGAAGGGACAGAGCTTGTCTCACAGGCAGCCAGGTCAGACTTGATTCCAGCACCCTTGTCTTTCCTGGAGCCCGCCAGGAGCAGGCCCCGAGCACAGAGCCGGGAGTGAGCCCTGAGCACAGAGTCAGGAGTCATCCCTGAGCACAGAGCCAGGAGTGAGCCCTGAGCACAGAGCCGGGAGCCAGCCCTGAGCACAGAACCAGGAGTTAGTCCTGAGCACAGAGCCAGGAGTGAGCTCTGAGCACAGAGCCAGGAGTGAGCCTCGAGCACAGAGCCAGGAGTCAGCCCCGAACACAGAGCTGGGAGTGAGCCCTGAGCACAGGGCCGGGAGTGAGCCCCGAGCACAGAGCCAGGAGTGAGCCCTGAGCACAGAGCCGGGAGTCAGCCCTGAGCACAGAGCCAGGAGTCAGCCTTGAGCACAGAGCCGGGAGTGAGCCCCGAGCACAGAGCCGGGAGTCAGCCCTGAGCACAGAGCCGGGAGCCAGCCCTGAGCACAGAACCAGGAGTTAGTCCTGAGCACAGAGCCAGGAGTGAGCCCTGAGCACAGAGCCGGGGGTGAGCCCCGAGCATAGAGCCAGGAGTCAGCCCTGAGCACAGAGCCGGGAGTCAACCCTGAGCACAGGGGCAGGAGTCAGCCTTGAGCACAGAATGGGGAGTCAGCCCTGAGCACCACCAGGTGTGGCCCTAAAAGGAAAAGAAGGAAAATGGGAGTGGGAGGCCCCTGGGACCCAAGGCACGTGGGGGCTTTGGAGACCGTCCCCAGCCTTGGCCGGAGCCCCCGGAGCCCCGCCCTCCGTCCTGGCTCCCGCCCGAGCTCCTGCCCTCTGCCCGCCCTGCAGGACGGGCCCTGCACCCCCACGCGCTGCCTGGGCTCCCTGGTGCTCCCGCGGAAGCCGCACAGCCGGGGCGCCCCTGGGCCCACCGCCCCCGAGCTGCTGCGCCAGGCCAGGGCCTTCATCGACCAGTACTACAGCTCCATCAAGAGGTGAGGCGGGGCCGGGCCACGGCACAGCGGGGAGGGCGTCCGCCTTGCACGCACGCGGCCAATCGGAGTTCGATTCCCAGCATCCCACAGGGTCCCCCGAGCCCCGCCAGGAGTAACTCCTGAGTGCAGAGCCAGGAGGAACCCCTGAGCATCGCTGGGTGTGACCCCAAAAAGGGAAAAAAACAAACAAGAAACCAAAGAGGTGGGGCTGGAGCGATAGCACAGCGGGGAAGGCGTTTGCCTTGCATGCGGCCCGACCCGGGTTCGATCCCCAGCATCCCATGGGGTCCCCTGAGCACGGCCAGGAGTAGTTCCTGAGTGCATGAACCTGAGCATTGTCAGGTGTGTCCCAAAAAGGAAAAAAAACAAAGAGGGGGGTGGGGGCCACCCCGGGGCTGCCTCGCCCCCCCCACCGCCTTGTGCACCCCCGCAGAGGTGGCTCCCAGGCCCACGCGCTGCGACTGCAGGAGGTGGAGGCCGAAGTGGCGGCCACGGGCACGTACCAGCTGCGGGAGAGCGAGCTGGTGTTCGGGACCAAGCAGGCCTGGCGCAACGCCCCCCGCTGCGTGGGCCGCATCCAGTGGGGCAAACTACAGGTGAGACCCCCGGATCAGGCGGGAGGGGCGTCCGGCTCCTGAGGCTCCATGGGGGCCGCGAGCCCCGGGCCCAGGGGTCCTGCCCCGCCTGGGGAAAGGGCCAGCTGTGCGTCTCCCCCACCCCGGCCGCTGGTCCCACGGAGCCCCCTGGAACGCGGGAGCCCCCGGGGACCAAATCTCCACTGGAACTTGCCAAGGACTTTCCAAACGGCTCAGTGACCCCAACCGAGGGGTCCAGCTGTGAGCCCACCGCGAGCTCCCCCTCCCCGGGGCTCCAGGTGGGAGGTGCCGCGGGCCGGGTCTCCTGCCCCTGCGGGAACCCCCACCCCCCTCCAGCCACCTGCCCCCTCATGCGGCCTCTCCTGCCCCCCGGCCCGGTCAGGTGTTTGACGCGCGGGACTGCAACTCGGCCCAGGAGATGTTCACCTACATCTGTAACCACATCAAGTATGCCACCAACAAGGGCAACCTCCGGTAGGCGCCGCACCACCCGTGGCCCTGAGCCCATGTCCACATCCTGGTCCCATGTCCCACACCCACGCCCCCTCCTGTGTCCCCATGCCCGTGGCCCCCGTCCCATGTCCCGGTGCCCACACCCCCATCCCGTATACCCATGCCGGGGCCCCCGTCCCATGTCCCCATGCCTGTGTCCCCATCCCGTGGCCCCCACCCTGTGGCCCCTATCCCATGGACCCCCGTCCCGTGGCCCTGTGCCCACGCCCCCCGTCCCGTGTCCCGTGCAGCTCGGCCATCACCGTCTTCCCCCAGCGTGTCCCCGGCCGCGGGGACTTCCGGATCTGGAACGGGCAGCTGATCCGCTACGCTGGGTACCGGCAGCAGGACGGGTCGGTGCGGGGGGACCCTGCCAACGTGGAGATCACCGAGGTGGGCACAGAGGCAGATGGTGTGGGGGGGGTCCGAGAGGCGTCAGGGACCCGGGTTTGGTGCCCGGCCCTGCCTGGCCTCGCACCTGCAGAAGGGGCTCAGGGGAGCAGGAAGAGGAGCCCCCACGGGGATGAGGAGAGGAAGACCCCAAAGATGGGGGTCCGGGCAGAGACACAGGCCGGCGGGTTCGGTGCTGCGGGCACGGGGACACGGGCAGGGGCGTGGGGCTGGCCAGGTCCAGTTCCCCGGCAGCCCCCCGGTCCCCTGAGCCCTGCTAGGGCTGACCCCTGGGCACCGGCAGGCGTGGCCCCAAAACTAGAATAAAATACCGGGGGGCTCCTGGTCTGTGGGGGTCCGAGAGCCCTGCACTCAGAGCTCGCTGCCCCCAGCTCTGCGTCCAGCACGGCTGGAGCCCCGGGAACGGCCGCTTCGACGTGCTGCCGCTGCTGCTTCAGGTGCCTGACGAGCCCCCGGAGCTCTTCACCCTGCCCCCCGAGCTGGTCCTCGAGGTGCCTCTGGAACACCCCACGTGAGTGCCAGAGGGCAGGCACGGCAGGGGTGGGGCGCAGCCAGGGGCCTACTGGAGTAGGGCAGAGCAGGCCTTGAGCACTGGGCTGCGGGGTCACAGAACCAGCCCTGAGCACTAGGCTGGGAGTCACAGAGCTGGCCCTGAGCAGGGAGGGGGCAGAGCTGGCCTGAGCTTCAGGGTGGGAGCTCAGAGTTGCCCCTGAGCACTGGGCTGGGAGTCACAGAGCTGCCCTTGAGCAGGGAGGGGGGCAGAGCTGGCCTGAGCTTCAGGGTGGGAGCTCAGAGTTGCCCCTGAGCACTGGGCCAGGAGTCTCAGAGCCGGCCCTGAGCGCCCTCCCGGCCCAGGCTGGAGTGGTTCGCCGAGCTGGGCCTGCGCTGGTACGCCCTCCCGGCCGTGTCCAACATGCTGCTGGAGATCGGGGGCCTGGAGTTCCCCGCGGCCCCCTTCAGCGGCTGGTACATGAGCACGGAGATCGGCACGCGGAACCTGTGCGACCCCCACCGCTACAACATCCTGGAGGTGAGCCCGGGGCGCCCCCACACAGCTCAGGCTTCTCCCACGCCCGCGCCGCGGGGAACGTTCTGGAACACGGGAGCAATCCCCGGGAGTGTGGGCGGGCCTGGGCATGGCCCCGTGTGAGTCTGCGGTTGAGTTTCGGGGTGGGGGGCAAAGGGTGCGGGCGCCCCTCTCTCTCCTTGGATTCTCAAGGCAGACTTTGACCCCCCCCCCCCCCGCAAATGCTGAACCCATCTCAGAGGAGAAACTGAGGCCCAGTCCTGTGCTGCGCTGCTCCCTGCGCATTGCGGGCCCCCGACCCCTGGGCTGAGACCGTCTCTGTCCTCTCCCTCACCTCCCGGTGCCGTGACTGTGTCTAGGACGTGGCCGTGTGCATGGACCTGGACACCCGGACGACCTCATCCCTGTGGAAGGACAAGGCGGCCGTGGAGATCAACGTCGCCGTGCTACACAGCTACCAGGTGCCTGACCCACGGGCCCGAGCCAGGGGTCTGGGGGTGCAGCTGGTGGTTCTGGGGGGCGTCACACCGAGCCTGGAGTAACTGCAGGTTGGGGGACACAGTAGGTGTCGGGGAAGATTCTGAAGGGGACGTGGAGGGTGTCAGGGTGACGCCACAGCTGTGGACACGGAGGGCGCCAGGGGGAGCCCGTGTTGGGAGGACCCGGGCTCCGTTGGCTGAGTGGGCGCCTCCGCAGCTGGCCAAGGTCACCATCGTGGACCACCACGCGGCCACGGCGTCCTTCATGAAGCACCTGGAGAACGAGCAGAAGGCGCGCGGGGGCTGCCCGGCCGACTGGGCCTGGATCGTGCCCCCCATCTCGGGCAGCCTCACGCCCGTCTTCCACCAGGAGATGGTCAACTACGTGCTGTCCCCGACCTTCCGCTACCAGGTGCCCCCGCGCCTCCCACCCCCAGCCCCCAGCTGCCCCGGGCTGCCCACCTTGGGTGCCCCCTCACCCCCCGCCTCACTGCTCCCCGCAGCCGGACCCCTGGAAGGGCAGCGCGGCCAAGGGGGCCGGCATCGCCAGGAAGAAGACCTTCAAGGAGGTGGCCAAGTAGGTGCCCGGTGCCCTCCCCAGCCACCCCCGCCCTGCCGCCCACCCCTTCACACGCCCCCGACCCTTCTGCACCCGTCACGCTCCCACCCACCCCTTCACTCACCCTTAGCCCTTCACAGCCCCGCTCACCCCTCCAAGCCCCATGGAGCCATTCTCAGCTGCTCAGTCTTCCGTCCACCCTCCACCCCCTCAGCCCTTCACCCCTAAGCCCTTCACCCCTCAGCCCTTCACTCCCTGAGCCTTTCACCCGCTCACCCCTTCACCCCTCAGCCCTCTGCCCCCTCAGCCCTTCACCTCTCAGCCCTTCTGTCTTTCACCGCCTCAGCCCTAGCTCCCCCTCAGCCTTTTTCTCCTCAACCCTTTTCCCTCAGCCCTTCACTCCTCAGCCCTAGATCCCCCTCAGCCTCTCTCCCTCTCAGCTCTTCTCCCCCTCAGCACTTCACCCCCCCTCACCCTCAGCCCTTCACCCCCTCAGCCCTTCACCCCTCAGCCCTGCAGCCCTTCACCCCTCAGCCCTTCACCCTCAGCCCTTCACCCCTCAGCCCTTCACCCCTCAGCCCTTCACCCTCAGCCCTTCACCCTCAGCCCTTCACCCCTCAGCCCTTCAGCCCTTCACCCCTTAGCCCTTCACCCTCAGCCCTTCACCCCTCAGCCCTTCACCCCTCAGCCCCTCACCCCTTCACCCCTCAGCCCTTCACCACTCAGCCCTTCACCACTCAGCCCTTCACCCTCAGCCCTTCACCCTCAGCCCTTTACCCCCCTCAGCCCTTCACCACTCAGCCCTTCACCCTCAGCCCTTCACCCCCCAGCCCTTCGGCCCTTCACCCCTCAGCCCTCCACCCCCTCAGCCCTCACCTTCTCAACTCTTCTCCCCTCAGCCCTTCTGTCAGCCTTTTACCCCCTCAGCCCTTCCCCCCTTCAGCCGCTCACTCCCTCGACCCTCACCCCCTCAGCCCTTCTCCCCCTCCACCCTTCAGCCCTTCAGCCCTCCCAGCCCCGGACCCGATGCGCGGGGCATAGCCGGGGTGGCCGGGCTGTGCGGGCCTCACTCACCCACTCCGTGGCACCCACAGCGCAGTCAAGATCTCCGCGTCCCTCATGGGCACCGTGATGGCCAAGCGCGTGAAGGCGACCATCCTGTACGGCTCGGAGACGGGCCGCGCGCAGAGCTACGCACAGCAGCTTGGGAGACTCTTCCGGAAGGCCTTCGACCCCCGGGTAGGGCTGGGTCAGAGCGGCAGGGGTGCAGGGGGGCTGCCGCGCCTTCCTGCTGTCCCGGAGAACCGAGGGCCCGAGTCACAGCCCCCGGGAGGTGGGGAACTGGGGGTCTGCGGCGTGCCCACGGGGGAGGGCGGGGACCCCCGTCTGCGTGTGACACCGTCGTCCTCACAGGTGCTGTGCATGGACGAGTACGATGTGGTGTCCCTGGAGCACGAGACGCTGGTGCTGGTGGTGACCAGCACATTCGGGAACGGGGACCCCCCGGAGAACGGAGAGGTGAGGCTGCAGGGAGGGGCCCAGGAGGAGGGGAGACAGATTGGGGTGCTGTGTTTGGTGTTTGAGCCACCCCTGGTGATGCTCAGGGGTTACTCCTGGCTTTGTGCTCACGTGGGATGCCGGAGCTCAGACCCAGCTTGGCCACGTGCAAGGCCGACGCCCTCCCCGCTGGACTGTCTCTCCAAGATGAGAATGTTTTTCCAAGGATGGAAATTGGGGATTCCCAAATGGGGTGGGGGGACTCCAGCCCCCCATGTGGCTGACTCACACCCCAAGCTCGGCGGTGTCCTCTCCCACCAGTGTTCATGCACGTGCTTTGCACTTGGTGGACACACCTCCGGATGGGTGGGGAGGGGATGCTGCTCCCGGGGGCAGCCACCACGACAGATAGGGACCGATTTCTGCTCCGCCGTGTCTTCCTAAGAGCACTGACCACGGAGATGGCGGAACGTCCCTGAAAACAAAACAGAGCCTTGGCGCGTCCCTGGGAAATTCTTTATTCATGGTTTGGGTTTGGCTTGGCATTGGGGCCACGCCCAGCTGTGCTCAGGGCTTACTTCTGGCTCCGTGCTCAGTGGTCACTCCTGGTTGGGCTCAGGGGACCCTGTAGGGTGCTGGGGATCAAGCTGAGGCTGGCCACCTTCCCCTCGGTCCTGCGTCTGCCGCCCCCCAATTTCTCTAGTCTCCAGCGGCCCAGCGCGGGTTTCAGCTCTTGACAGGAAACGCCTCTGGGCGCTGTGTATTTTCTCACTGCCCAGAGACCAAGACTCTGAGGTCAGTGCTGGCTGCTGGCTCACTGGCCACCACTGCCCATTGCTCGCTGCTGTCTGGAGGGAACCAGAAACCCTCAGAGTTGTCACCTTTAGGACAAAGGGCTCTGCCCCCATGCTGCCCGCGTTTGGTCAAGGTGGAGATTTTCATACCCCTACCAAACCCTCTGTCCCCTAGCCAAACCCAACCTCCCTGAGTCCCAGCGACTGTAGAAGGTTCTAGAAAGCAGTGCACCGGGCATCGGCCCGCCCTAAGTGTGTGACTCAGCGGCGTGGGGCGCGTTCATTGTGTGAACACGCGATCTGCACCCCCATCTCCGGCTGACGGGCACTTGGGCTGTTTCCAGTTTTGAGCTGTGATGAATAAGGCTGCTGTGAACACTCTGGGACGGGCCTTTGTGGGCTTATGTTTTCATTTCTCTTAGATAAATAATACCTAGGGCTAAAATTGTCGGGTCATTGGGTAAAAGAATGTTTAACTCAAAAACAAAACAAAACAAAGCAAAAGAAAACTAAAAAATACAGTCACACAGCCCAAGGGATGGCCCTCGGAGTCTATGTGTGGCAAGTCCGTGTAAACCTGAGTGAGCCCCAGACTCGGCCGGGCAAGCAGGGCATGGGAACACAAGAACGTTCCCCGAGGAGAGAGAATAGAGTGGGCAGGACGCTTGCGTTCAAGTCCTGGCACCCCAAATGCTCCCAACCCCAGCCAGGAGTCATCCTTGAGCACAGAGCCAGGAGTTAAGCCCTGAGCACCATGGGGTGTGCCCCACCTCCACAAAAAAAAAAGTTCTTTCTTGCATTGTTATTCATGACAACCTACCCCCCCCTCCACACACATACACACACACACACACACACACACACACACTGCTGAAAAAGGTCCAAATGGCTGTTGGGCCACTCCTGTCTTGGAGGAACCTTGAAAACTAATATTGGGGCTGGAGCACAGCGGGGAGAGCGTTTGCCTTGCACGCTACCGATCCGGGTTCAATTCTCAGCATCCCATACGGTCCCCCAAGAACCAGCAGAAGTAATTGCTGAGTACAGAGCCAGGAGTAACCCATGTGCATCGCTGGGTGTGGTCCAAATAGCAAAAAAAAAAAAATCTAATATTAAGATGTCAGATGAGAACTTAGCCCTGAAGGGCACCCAGGAGGGGATGCAGTGCCCTCCCTGGTGTGCCAATCAGGAGGGGTATAGGGGACCCCTCACCTGCCGGGCAGCGGTGGGAGGCCTGAGTGCAGGGGTGTTTCTGGGGTTGGGGGGTGGGCTGTGTGGAGGCAGCATCTAGAAGCTTTCGGTGCCAGTGACGGGGGCGGTGCAGAGGACGGAGGCTGGTTTCCACCTGCTGCCCTGGACGGGCGCAAGAACGACTCAGACTGAGCCTCCCCAGGGGGTGCTGGGCTCTGACCCGGCCGTTCCCCTTCAAGAGCCAGGAGCGGGTCTGTGCGGTCCTGGACCGTGGGGGAGGCGGGAATCCAGGGTTGCATCCGAGGCCCACCCAGGGCCCAGCAGAGCTCAGGGTATACCAGGCCAAGGGCTCAGCCCTGGGGGCAGCTGCTGATGTCACCAGCAGCCAGCACCTTAGAGAGCTTCCTGCCACTATGGTCCCCACCAGTGGCACCCACGGATGCCCGGACATGAAGTCCCAGCGCCCTGTGACCGCTGTGAAACAGGAAAGAGGCCTGGGGGGAAAGACCAGCAGCGCTTTCAGACCCCCAGACTGAAATGCGGACGGGGCCAGAGCACAGCAGGGAGGGCGTTGGTCCTGCATGCAGCTGGCCCGGGTTCGATCCCCGGCACCCCATACGGTCCCCTGGCCGTGGCTAGGAGTAACCTCTGAGCACCTTTGGGTGTGCACCCCCTCCAAAAAAGAAAAAAAAAACAGGGCTGGAGTGATAGCACAGCAGGTAGGGCGTTTGCCTTGCACGTGGCCGACCTGGGTTCGATCCCCAGCATCCCATAGGGTCCCCCGAGCACCGCCACGAGTAATTCCTAAGTGCATGAGCCAGGAGTGACCCCTGTGCATTGCCGGGTGTGACCCAAAAAGGAAAAAAACAACAACCCTAAAATGTCAAGTTACAGACAATGCCACCATGGCCAGGGGTGGACCCAAACTCACTGGTTCCAATTCTGCCCCCAGAGTTTTGCCGCTGCCCTCATGGAGATGTCGGGGCCCTACAACAGTTCCCCAAGGCCGGAGCAGCACAAGTGAGTGGGACACGGGCCTTCGGACTACCAGGGACGAGGGCGAAGGGTCCCCCTCGGAACCCCAGGACACTGCAGCGCCAGGCCGGAGAAGTGGGCCTCCCGGGTCACGGCCTCTGTCCACTCTCCCCAGGAGCTACAAAACCCGCTTCAACAGCATCTCCTGCTCCGACCAGCTGGTGTCCACGTGGCGTCGGAAGCGGAAGGAATCGAGTAACACGGACAGCGCTGGGGCGCTGGGCACCCTCAGGTCTGGGCCCCAGCCAGGGGAGGCAGCCCGGGCCCCCCCGGGGGTGGGGGCGGGGCGGGGACGGACTCCAGTGACCGGTGGTGCCGCACCCCAGGTTCTGTGTGTTCGGGCTGGGCTCCCGAGCGTACCCCCACTTCTGCGCCTTTGCCCGCGCGGTGGACACGCGGCTGGAGGAGCTGGGCGGAGAGCGGCTGCTGCAGCTGGGCCAGGGGGACGAGCTGTGTGGCCAGGAGGAGGCCTTCCGCGGCTGGGCGCAGGCCGCCTTCCAGGTGAGGCCCTCATCTGTCTTGGGGCGGGGAGCGGGGGCACCCTACAGGCCGAGCCTGGGCGGGGACGGGCCCCGGACTGCAGGGCTGAGGGGGAGGACAGAGATGGGAAGGGTTGCGGCCAGGAAGGGGGCATCTCGAGGTGCGACTGGGGGTTCTTCCAGGTCTGGGGTCCTGGGTCGGGGGTTCAGGAAGGGAATGTCCCGGGTCTGGGGGGTCCTGGGTCCAGGTGCAGGATGGGAACATCATGGGTCTGGGGGGTCTTGGGTTGGGGTACAGGAGGAAACATCCTGGTCTGGAGGGTCCCGGGTCTGGGTCCTGGGTCAGGATGCAGGGAGGGTGTGATCGGCTGAGACTGAGGAAGCCTGGCTTTCCTCAGAGGCTCCTCCCCATACCGATACCCCAGGGGTTCCTGGCTGGAGTTGGGGTCTGACGCGGGCAGGAGAGGTGTCCTGGGCTGGGAGGCCGCCAATGGGGGGGGGGGGGGTGGAAGGGGCTCCAATCCAGGGGTGGTGGAAACTGACCCAAGCTGAGGGTCTGCGGGGGTGGGGGGGTGGGGGGGGAGGAGCAGGGAGGCTGCGGGCAGGAGGAAGGGAGGGGGCAAGGCGGAAGGAAGAGCTAGAACATTCTGCACACAGGGGAAGATTAGCGGCTGGAGATACAGTCGGAGAGGGCAGGGGGTGGAACACGGATCCCTGTTCGAGCTGGGGGCTGATCAGAAACAAACAGGACATGCAGCCCCCAGGTCACCCCAGGCCCGGACGCAGGCGACAGAGGAGTCAGAAGAACTTGTTCTTGTCTGGGGAACCCAGGACCTTTCCGCCCCCTCGGCTCCACAGAGCTCAGGCCCAGGCCCCCCCACCCCCTCCCGCAGGGGTTTGAACCCAGAGCCCACGGCAGGAGCCCGGCTCAGCACTGTACCCCAAAACGAACACGCTGGGGCCGTGACCCCACATGCAAAGAACAGCAGCCTGGGCAGCGGCCCCCCCAACCCTGCCCCTCACCTGCGGGGCTGGCTACTGTGGGGGGAAGGGGCGGCTGGAATGCAGTGGGCGGTGGGTGGGGGGCTCTAGGAGGCCCCTCAGCTGCTCAGGCTGCCCCCCCAGGCCTCCTGCGAGACCTTCTGCGTGGGAGAGGACGCCAAGGCGGCCGCCCGCGACATCTTCAGCCCCAAGCGCAGCTGGAAACGCCAGAGGTACCGGCTGAGCGCCCAGGCCCAGGGCCTCCAGCTGCTGCCAGGTGCGGCCCCGCCCGCCCTGCCCGGGTGCGCTGCCCACCCCCCCCCCACCTGGCGAGGCTCAGTCCCCCTCGCTGTGCCCCCAGGTCTGGTCCACGTGCACAGGCGGAAGATGTTCCAGGCGACCGTGCTGGCGGTGGAGAACCTGCAGAGCAGCAAGTCCACGTGAGCGCCCGCGGACCCCCGCGGACCCCCGCCGCCCTCCCCTGCCCGCCGCCTCGGCCCCCTGGGACACCTCCTCTCCCCGCCCGCAGCCGCGCCACCATCCTGGTGCGCCTGGACACGGCCGGCCAGGAGGGGCTCCAGTACCAGCCCGGGGACCACGTGGGCATCTGCCCGCCCAACCGGCCCGGCCTGGTGGAGGCGCTGCTGAGCCGCGTGGAGGACCCGCCGCCGCCCGGGGAGCCCGTGGCCGTGGAGCAGCTGGAGAAGGGCAGCCCGGGTGAGGGCCGCGGGACCCCCGACGCTGCGCCCCCCACCCGGCCCGGGGGCCCTGAACCCTGCGCCCACCCCGCCCCGCCCAGTCTTGGGGGGCCCTGAGACCCTGCGACCACCCCCCGCCCAGTCCTGGGGGCCCTGAGACCCTGCGACCCCCCGCCCCACCCTGGGGGGCCCTGAGACCCTGCGCCCACCCCACCCCGCCCAGTCTTGGGGGGCCCTGAGACCCTGCGACCACCCCCCGCCCAGTCCTGGGGGGCCCTGAGACCCTGCGACCACCCCCCGCCCAGTCCTGGGGGGCCCTGAACCCTGCGCCCACCCCGCCCAGTCTTGGGGGGCCCTGAGACCCTGCGCCCACCCCGCCCCGCCCAGTCTTGGGGGGGCCCTGAGACCCTGCGACCACCCCCCCGCCCAGTCCTGGGGGGCCCTGAGACCCTGCGACCACCCCCCGCCCAGTCCTGGGGGGCCCTGAGACCCTGCGCCCACCCCACCCCGCCCAGTCTTGGGGGGCCCTGAGACCCTGCGACCACCCCCCGCCCAGTCCTGGGGGGCCCTGAGACCCTGCGACCACCCCCCGCCCAGTCCTGGGGGGCCCTGAACCCTGCGCCCACCCCACCCCGCCCAGTCTTGGGGGGCCCTGAGACCCTGCGACCACCCCCCCGCCCAGTCCTGGGGGGCCCTGAGACCCTGCGACCCCCCGCCCCACCCTGGGGGGCCCTGAGACCCTGCGCCCACCCCACCCCGCCCAGTCTTGGGGGGCCCTGAGACCCTGCGACCACCCCCCGCCCAGTCCTGGGGGGCCCTGAGACCCTGCGACCCCCCCGCCCCACCCTGGGGGGCCCTGAGACCCTGCGCCCACCCCACCCCGCCCAGTCTTGGGGGGCCCTGAGACCATGTGACCACCCCCCGCCCAGTCCTGGGGGGCCCCTGAGACCCTGCGACCCCCCGCCCCACCCTGGGGGGCCCTGAGACCCTGCACCCACCCTACCCCGCCCAGTCCTGCGGGCCCTGAGACCCTGCGACCCCCGCCCCCGCCCCGCCCTGGGAGGGGTCTGAACCCTGCGCCCACCCCCTCCTGGTCCTGGTAGGACCCCTGAGACCCTGCCTCCCTGCCCCGCCCTGGGGTGACCCTAAGACCCTGTGCCCCCAGTCTGGCCCTGGGGTGACCCTGACACCCTGCGGCCCTCGCCTGGCCCTGAAAGGTCCCTGAACCCTGCCCCCCCCGCGCCTGGCTTTGGCAGGACCCCTGAGACCCTGCGCCCCCCTACCCCGCCCTGGGGTGACCCTGAGACCCTGCGACCCCCCACCCCGCCTTGGGTTGACCCTGAACCCTGCACCCCTCGCCCGCCCTGGAGGGGTCCCTGAGATGCTGCGCCCCCCGCCCCCCATCACAGCCATCCGCCGCCCGGCAGCGGGAGCGTCCACAGAGCCCTAGAAGCGGCCCCCACCGCCCCCCAAAGCTGGTCCCCTCCTTCCCAACTGCCCAGAGCCCCCCTCGCTGTCCGGCTCACTTCTGCCAGCGGCAGAGGCGATGCCTAGGGTGGGGGGGGGGAGCCGGGGAGAACAGCCGGATGCAGCCAGGAGGGACCCCCACCCACCACGCAGGGGCTCCCACAGGCGCCCTAGCGGTCAGACCCCTCCCCCCGCCCCCAGTCAGCCCGGTCGACGCGGTTCCGGCTTGGCCCCTTCCTCAGCGCTGCCCTCCTCCCCACCCACCCGCAGGTGGCCCTCCCCCAGGCTGGGTGCGGGACCCCCGCCTGCCCCCCTGCACGCTGCGCCAGGCCCTCACCTTCTTCCTGGACATCACCACCCCGCCCAGCCCGCGGCTGCTGCAGCTGCTCAGCACGTTGGCCGAGGAGCCCGGGGAGCAGCAGGAGCTGGAGACCCTCAGCCAGGTGGGCGCAGGCCGGGGCGGGGCGGGGCGGGGCGGGGCGCGGGGCGGGGCGAGGGGCGGGGCGGGGCGCGGGGCGGGATAGGGCTGGGGGCGGGGCGAGAGTCTCAGCCCCTCCCCCGCCCGCCCCTCCAGGACCCCCGGCGCTACGAGGAGTGGAAGTGGTTCCGCTGCCCGTCGCTGCTGGAGGTGCTGGAGCAGTTCCCGTCCGTGGCGCTGCCCGCGCCCCTGCTCCTCACGCAGCTGCCCCTGCTGCAGCCGCGCTACTACTCGGTCAGCTCCGCGCCCAGTGCTCACCCCGGCGAGATCCACCTCACGGTGGCCGTGCTGGCCTACCGCACGCAGGGTGAGCCCCCGCGCCGGGCCTGGGGCCTCGGGGTGGGCCTCGGGGTGGGCCCCGGGGTGGGCCCCGGGCGGCCCCTCACGGCCCTCCCGTCCCGCCCCCAGACGGCCTGGGTCCCCTGCACTACGGAGTCTGCTCCACGTGGCTGAGCCAGCTCAGGGCCGGAGACAGCGTCCCCTGCTTCATCAGGGGGTGAGTCAACCCCGCAAGACAGTGTCTGTCTTCCCCCCAGCCCTGCAGAAAGTGCCAGAAACAGGTGGCGCAATGGGAGGGGGACGCCGGGGAGGGGACCGAGGGAGGTGAAGGGCGACAGGGTTTGGGGCTGGAGCGACAGTACGGGCGGGGAAGGTGCTGGTCTTGCGTGCAGACGACCTGGGTTCGGTCCCCGGCATCCTGAGTCGGCCAGGAGCGATCCCTGAGCTCAGCATCATGCGTATGCCCTGAACCCCGCCAGGTGTGACCCCCCAACCCCACAACAAACAAAAGATCGGGGATCCCACAGAGCCCCTCTTTAAATTTCAGCCACGCTTGGAAAGGCCTCATACTCCTCTGGATGTGGGTCCTGGCTGGGGACAGGCTTGCAAGGAGACAGGCCTGGCTGCCTCCACATGTTTGGGGACAGCCTGGCCCCCCAGGACCAGTGTCCTGTCCAAGGATAGCCGCCTCCCCCATTGCGGCCAGGAAGCTGGAGCTGGTGCCCCCAGACCCTGAAAGGGAAGGATCACAGGGCACCACCCCGAAGGCCTGAGTCTGGCCCCGTCCAGCAGCTGGGAACCCCCAGGGCTGGTGACACTGAGAGCAGAGAGCACCATGACGGAGCCCCGTCCCTGCTAAGTGACCCACAAAATGTGTCCCATCCACTGAATATGAGCCAGAAGGCCCTGTAATAAGTTCAAAGGCAGAACTGCCCATCCCATAGCTTCTGAATCACCAAAACTGAGACAGGGTCACATTCTTCGGTTCAGATCAGAACTAGGGGCCAGAGACGGGACATACTTTGTGTCAGATTCCTGGCACTGCATTACCCTCGTGCACTGCCAGGCTCTGCCTACAAGCAGGGCAGGGCCGGAGCATGGCCGGGATGGAGTCCTGAACCAGCCAGGGCAGTCCGGAACGAGTGCCCAGGGAGTCGCCCCCTGCTCCCATCCACCTGCTGAGGACGTCAAGAAAGAGCCGTGCGGGGAAGCAGTTATCCTTTGACCTGGCATCCAGGAATCACAGGCCCAGGGGTTTCCTGCCGCAGAGTGCCCTTGTGCACGCCCTCATGGCCCTGAGCATACATGACACTCGTGGGCACCAGCAAGGCCGACACAGTCCCTGGAAGCAGAACTTCCCCCTCCGCCCTGCGCACAGGTGCTCAGAAAGGGGAGCGGGGCCCGCAGACGGGGCCTGACGGCCACTCTCTCCACTAGGGCTCCCTCCTTCCGGCTACCCCCTGACCCCAATTTGCCCTGCATCCTGGTGGGCCCGGGCACTGGCATCGCCCCCTTCCGGGGGTTTTGGCAAGAGCGGCTTCATGACATTGACAGCAAAGGTAGGCTGGGAATCCAGAGGGACAGGTTGGCAGGAAGCAGCATCACAAAAGTTTGGTACAGGGGCTGGAGAAATAGTCGTTGGCCTTGCACACAGCCGACCCGGGTTCGATCCCCGGCATCCCATACGGTCCCCCAAGCACTGCCAGGAGTAATTCCTGAGTGCAGAGCCAGGAGTAACCCCCTGTGCATTGCCGGGTGTGACCCAAAACAGCAAAAATAAATAAATAAAAGTTTGGTACCAAGGAATGGAGGTCAGGAGGCCGGAACCAGGAAAGGGAAGTGGGTTGGGGTGAGCCCCGGTGCCTGGGTGGTGTGGCTTCCCGCGGGCTGCATGTGGGTCCAAAGTCACCATCAGGTTGGCTGAGAGTCACAGGGAACCGGGTATCTGGAAGGCATGGAGCTGAATTCAGAGGCAGAAATGCCTTTATAGGACTCTGGACTGCGTCAGGACTTACCTAGGTGCGTCCAAGACGCTACAGGGTGTTTGCTTTGGGCACCCGTTGCCCAGGGTGGCTGTGGCCAACAGGAAGGTCGGAAGTGTGGGAAGATGTGTGTGGTTATGGTTCCTTAGCTGTGGTGCCGGTATAAAGGGCCTGGGGTTCACATTCTGGCACAGGGACTATTTATTCCACCCTTTGGCTGCTCAGCATATCTGGGTGTGACCAACTCCTCTCTGAAGGCACCTGCGCTCTCCTAAGGGCCACAGAGCCTCCAGGATTGTTTCTACCCCAAGACTCTGCTGTGAGCTGGGGCCAGGGTGGCAGCGCCAGGCACCGTCAGAACTGTGCCTCGGTGGGGGGAGGAGGGCTCCCCCAAGCCGTCTGCTCACCGCAGGGTTGCAGCCCTTCCCGATGACCTTGGTGTTCGGCTGCCGATGCTCCCAGCTCGACCATCTCTACCGCGACGAGGTGCAGGATGCCCAGCGGCGCGGGGTGTTCGGCCGCGTCCTCACGGCCTTCTCCCGGGAACCCAACAGCCCTAAGGTGCGGGGACCTCCGAGGGGCGCGCACCCCAGGCCCGGCAAGAAGCTCGCCCCTTTCCAGGCTCTGCCCCCGTCCTTCCGGGAGCCCCTGGCCAGACCGGCCAGTACCGGCGCCTCTTCATAGCTGCCCTCACCCCGTCTCCCCCAGACGTATGTGCAGGACATCCTCAGAACGGAGCTGGCCGAGGAGGTGCACCGCGTGCTGTGCCTAGAGGGAGGCCACATGTTCGTCTGCGGGGACGTCACCATGGCAACCAGTGTCCTGCAGACGGTGCAGCGCATCCTGGCCACCGAGGGCAACATGGAGCTGGACGAGGCCGGCGACCTCATTGGCGTGCTGCGGGTATGGAGGGGCAGCGCCAGAGGCTGCCTGGCAGGGTGGGCGGGGCTGGGCTTGTGGGCGTGGTCCTAGAGGCGGGGTTTCCCGGGGCAGCAGAGCCCAATGGGGCAGGACTTGCCAGGGGCGGAGCCCGAGGGGCGGGGTTTCCAGAGGGACCCCCGAGAGGGTGGGGCTCATAGGGGGCGTGGTTTCCCAGGGGAAGCCCTATAGGACTGGGGGCGGGGTTTTTAAGGGGCGTGGCTTCCCAGGGAACCCTATAGGGCTGGGAGCCTGGGGGCAGGGTTTTTGAAGGGGCGTGGTTTCCCAGGGCGAAGCCCTATAGGACTGGGAGCCTGGGGGCGGGGTTTCAAGGGGCGTGGCTTCCCAGGGTGAAGCCCTATAGGGCTGGGGGCCTAGGGGCGGGGTTTTTAAGGGGAGTGGTTTCCCAAGGCGAAGTCCTATAGGACTGGGAGCCTGGGGGCAAGGTTTTCAAGGGGCGTGGTTTCCCAGGGCGAAGTCCTATAGGGCTGGGAGCCTAGGGGCGGGGTTTTCAAGGGGCGTGGCTTGCCAGGGCGAAGCCCTATAGGACTGGGAGCCTATGGGTGGGGTTTTCAAGGGGCGTGGTTTCCCAGGGGAAGCCCTATAGGGCTGGGAGCCTAGGGGCGGGGTTTTGAAGGGGAGTGGTTTCCCAAGGCGAAGTCCTATAGGGCTGGGAGCCTAGGGGCGGGGTTTTTAAGGGGCGTGGTTTCCCAAGGCGAAGTCCTATAGGGCTGGGAGCCTAGGGGCGGGGTTTTCAAGGGGCGTGGCTTGCCAGGGCGAAGCCCTATAGGACTGGGAGCCTATGGGTGGGGTTTTTCAAGGGGCGTGGTTTCCCAGGGGAAGCCCTATAGGGCTGGGAGCCTAGGGGCGGGGTTTTGAAGGGGAGTGGTTTCCCAGGGTGAAGCCCTATAGGGCTGGGGGCCTAGGGGCGGGGTTTTTAAGGGGCATGGTTTTCCAAGGCGAAGTCCTATAGGGCTGGGAGCCTGGGGGCGGGGTTTTGAAGGGGCGTGGTTTCACAGGGCGAAGCCCTATAGGGCTGGGAGACTGGGGGCGGGGTTGTCAAGGATGTGGGCGTTCCCAGGGCCGTGTCCCATAGGGCTGGGGGCCTAGGGGCGGGGTTTTCCAGGGCGGAGCCCCATAGGGCACAAAGCCCTGGGGACCGGGACTGAGGCGGAGATGTTAAACTGAGCCATGCCTGGGGTGGGACCGGCTCTGGTTTGGAGACCCTTATGAGCCCTGCCTCTCGGTGTCCATAGGATCAGCAACGCTATCACGAGGACATTTTCGGGCTCACCCTACGCACCCAGGAGGTGACAAGCCGCATTCGCACCCAGAGCTTCTCCCTGCAGGAGCGACGCCGGGGAGCAGTGCCCTGGGCTTTTGACCCCCCGGGTCTAGACACTGCAGGCTCCTGAGGATCCTTTTCCACCCGGACCCCGGAGAGGGGCTGTCGTTCCCTCCAGGCGCTGCCCTCTCCTGGCCTGACCACCTCGCCCTCCTCTCCAGAGGTGCCTGTCAGCAGCTGTCCGGTCTAAAGAGAGGCTCCTGGTTCCCCTGGAAGGAGCAATGTTTCCTTCCACGTAGGCCGGCTCCGTGCAGGGGTCTGACGCGTGGGAAGGCCCCTCCAGCCGTGGGGTTCCAGGCTCACTGTCCTCTTGCCTGTTCTTCGGCGAATTTAGATTCCTTTCACCTCTCTCAAGAGGATCTTCTTTTGAAACATAACCTTTCAATCATCTGAATATTTATTATTGCAGAGTTACCGTTAGAGACTAGTCCCCGTGTTTTTAGAGCGAGAGATGCCTGCCCCAGCCCAGTCCATTAAAAAGACCAATGACAGCTTCGTCTTGTGATTGAAGCAGGTGCCGCGGGTGGGGTTCCTCGACACGGAGATCCCCACACCACTCTCCAGAAGTGGGTTCCAGGCACCCCAGGAGTCCTGTCCTGCTCCCGTGACTGCTAGGACGGGGTTAGGGACGGGGTTTCCCAGAGCAGTGCCCCAAAGCGGGAAGTTCTGGAGTCCAAGGTCGTATGACTGTGAGCACAGCCCTGAGCGGCCTTTTGCTGCTGGGTTCAGATGGGATGAGGAGCCACCCGCTTCCTCAGTCAGACCAGCGCTGAGCTGCAAATGCACCAGAATGTCCATGCATCGGGCCACCACCAGGCCACCAGGCCCTGGCAGCAGAAGGCCCCGTTCACTCTGGCCTGGGCCCTGCCCCCTCCCGGACAATTCTTGTCCCCACTTCCTTCTGAGCAACAGGTCCAGGCCAGCTAGCTGAGGAGTGGGAGCACCGGTTTCCTCGGCCCTGCCATGTGGGGGTCACTGCTAAAACTCATTTCCAGATGCCTTTGGCATTTCCTCCCCTTTCTTTGCACTCTGGGGCTGTGTCCATCACTAGCACACACACCCCCAAGTCCTGCCCAATAAAAGCATCATTGGGTGCAGACTCCACGGGAGGGTCCCAGGGAGGGGCCTCGTCTGGTCTGTGTTTGGACAAGTCAGGAGGCCTGGGGGAAGCAGATACCAGAGATGACGGTCCCCGTTACCCCAGTTCCCACCACCATTCCCGTGGCACCAGCCCATTTCCTCCTCCTTGCCAGAAAAACTCTACCGTGAGACCGTGTCACTCCGCGCTGGGGGCTGGGCCCGGAGTCCGGGCGTCTGCGGGCCCGGGGAACAGGGTCTGCGCTCTCTGGGCCCTCCATTGCTGCCGGGGGCTGGACGCGGGGCTGGAGCCTGGAGACAGAGCCGGCCAGTGCCTTGCAGCCACCACACACTCAACCCCCACCGGTGCCCATGCCCCCTAGACAGTCTCACCGTCGCTGGACCAGGACGGCTTCTCCTCATCGGGCGAGAGCGTGTGCGTGGGGCTGGCCCAGGGCCGGGCGGGGGACGAAGCCTCCCCCCACAGCTCCTGCTGCTGCTGCTGGTGTAGCTGCCGGAGGGAGGGACTGATGAGGGCCCCCCCCGCAGCCGCCTCTGTCCCTTGCTGTTGGCCGGGCAGCCCGCCCACACCCCCTCACCTGGTGCAGGTAGATGGCGTGCAGGCTCATCTCTGCCGACGCCAGTTCGGGGAGCTGGGCCAGCTTCTGGCCCCCTGAGCCGCCAGGGGACACACAGCTGGAATAGACAGGGCAGGCACCGAAAAGATATGCTGTTCCCCGCAGCCCCGGACGGGGGCCAGACTCCAAACTCAGGCACCGCCCCCCCCCCCAGGACCCCTGCGTGTCCCCCCTCCCCCGTCACCTCACCTCGGATCCTGCGAAATGCGGGAAATAGAGGCTAGGAGGCTGGCCGTGGCTCCCGCAGGACAAGGGGTTGTGGGGCTCAGGTCCCTCGGGGGCAGGAGGGGGTGGACCAGGAGATTGGCCAGGAAGGTCTCAGGCTGGGGGTCGAGAGGGTGGGTCAGAATCGAACCGTGAGAGGCGGGAGGAGGCTGGTCCCATAAGGTTGGGACTCACCAGAGGTGAGGAAGAGTCGCTGAGCACCCCGGGGGTGGGCGGGCTTCGAAGGGAGGTGGCCCCCCAGGCGGCGGCATCTTGCTGAACACGGCCCCGGAGGTGCCCCAGGAACTTGGAGCTGTGCCCCGGGGGGCGCCACTGGGGGTGCGCCAGGGAGAACCTCATCAAGGACAGCTCCGTCTTGCCGTCCTCGGCCCGCTGGGCCAGCGAGGCCTCGGTCTGGCCGGCAGACAGCCACTGGGGGAAGAAACGGCGCGTCAGGCCCGCGCAGCCTCCTCGGGGCAGCCAGTGCCGCGTCCTCAGGGAGGGACCGAACGGGCGCCGCGTCCTGGGACCAGGGCAGGGCGGTCCCCGGGGAGCCAGGCCGGCAAACTCTGACCTGAGGGTGGCCGTGGCGCTTGACGTCCATGAGGGCGAAAGAGCAGATGTCCCCGACCCCCGCCACGTCCACAGTGAAGTGGTGGAAAAAGTCGATGATTTCCAGGGCGCGCGGGCGCAGCCAGAACAGCAGGAACAAGGGGGTGAGCAGCGGCGACAGGAGCTCCTCCAGGAGCGCCACCTGCGGGGACAGGGGAGCGGGACGGTGCTGCGGGCGCGCTGGCCGGGGACGGGGCGGGACGGGCGTTGGGGGCGCACTGGCCAGGTAGGGGGGCTGGACGGGCGCTGCTGAGTGCACCGGCCGGGGACGGGGGCGGGACTGGCGCGGGGGGCGCACTGGCCGGGGACGGGGCGGGACGAGCGTTGGGGACGCACTGGTGGGCGAGGGGATCGGGACGGGCACTGCGGGGCTCACTGGCCGGGGAGGGGCTCGGGACGGGCGCCGGGGGCGCACTGGCCTGGAGAGAGGGCGGGACGGGCGCTGGGGACGCACTGGTGGGCGAGGGGATCGGGACGGGCACTGCGGGGCTCACTGGCCGGGGAGGGGCTCGGGACGGGCGCCGGGGGCGCACTGGCCTGGAGAGGGGGCGGGACGGGCGCTGGGGACGCACTGGTGGGCGAGGGGATCCGGACGGGCGTTGCGGGGCGCACTGGTCGGGGACGGGGGCGGGACGGACGCTGGGGACTCACTGGTGGGCGAGGGGATCGGGACGGGCACTGCTGAGCGCACTGGCCGGGAAGGGGCTCGGGAAGGGCGCCGGGGGCGCACTGGCCGGGGGGGGGGGGGGGGCGAGACGGGCACCGCGGGCGCACTGGCCTGGGACGGGGCGGGACGGACGCTGGGGACGCACTGGTGGGCGAGGGGATCGGGACGGGCGTTGCGGGGCGCACTGGCCGGGGACGGGGGCGGGACGGGCGCCAGGGGCGCACTGGCCTGAGACGGGGCAGGACGGGCACTGGGGACGCACTGGTGGGCGAGGGGATCGGGACGGGCGTTGCGGGCGCACTGGCCGGGGACGGGGGCGGGACGGGCGCCAGGGGCGCACTGGCCTGAGACGGGGCAGGACGGGCACTGGGGACGCACTGGTGGGCGAGGGGATCGGGACGGGCGTTGCGGGCGCACTGGCCGGGGACGGGGGCGGGACGGGCGCCGGGGGCGCACTGGCCTGAGACGGGGCAGGACGGGCGCTGGGGACGCACTGGCCTGGGGAGGGGCTCGGGACGGGCGCCGGGGGCGCACTGGCCTGGGGAGGGGGCGTCCCGGGCGCCGGGCCTACCGCGCGGTACTGCAGCAGGCGCGCCATCTGGCGGTAGGCGCTGTCGCGGCCGGCCGGGCCCGGCGCCTCGGGCAGGTAGTGCATGTGCGCCAGGGCCGCCTGCAGCAGCAGCCCGGGGGACCGGCCCTGGCACTGCTCGTCGGGGACGAAGGACCTGCGGGGCGGGACGGCGGTGAGGCGCGGCGGCGGCGGCGGGGAGAGAGGGGCCGGCGGGGCGCGCCCGACCGCCGCCGCCGCCGCCGCACCTGGCCACGGTGACCGTGACGCCCAGCGCGGTCATGGCCGTGAGCACGTGCTCGACGGCCAGCACGTCCTCGTCGTAGACGGTGAGCACGAGCAGCGCGGCGAGGAGCGCGCCCGCGAAGAAGACGAGCTGGCGGGCCAGCAGCGCGCGCAGGGGCGCGGGCGGCGCGGCGGCGCGCAGGAAGGCGTTGGCCGGCCGGTAGGCGCGGGCCAGGCGCGCGCGCAGCTCGTGGGGCAGCTCGTTGAAGTGGCGCAGCTGCAGGCGCGCCAGGCGGGACCAGCGACGCGCGCCCAGCGCCCCGGGCTGGCGCCGCAGCAGCTCGGCGTGGCTGTAGAAGGCGCGCAGCACCTGCCAGGCCAGCACCAGCGGGCTCAGCGCCAGGTTCACGCCGGCCAGCAGCAGCACGCGGCGCCGCCAGCGCGCGGCCAGCGCGGCCCGCTGGTCGCTGCGCTTGTAGGCGTCGGGCAGCTCCCAGCCGCCGCGGAAGAGCGAGAAGGGCCCGCGGAAGAGCAGCAGGTCCACGTTGAGCGCCAGGCCCCGGCTCAGGAAGGCCACGCCGCCGCCCCAGGGCAGCGCGCAGCGCGCGGGCAGCAGGCCCTTGTTGGCCAGCGCCACCTGGTAGTTGGTGTAGCGCAGGATGCGGTGGTGGACGTCCAGCTCGGTCAGCGGCCGCGGCTGCACGCACAGCCCGCCGCTCCTCTGCAGCGCCAGCAGGCGGGACTGCACCTCGGCCCAGGGCACCGCGCTCAGCTCCTCCTAGGAGAGGGGACCCCCGTGAGTGCCCCGTGCGCGCGCGCGCACCCACCGGGTGAGCCGAGCCGCCGCCCGGGGGCGCCTAGCCCGTGCCGCCTCGGTCTCCCCTCCCCGGCGCGTGTCCGGGCTGCTTCCTACTTCCCTCCTTCCTCTTCTGATGCTCTGAGTCAGGTGCTGCCCGCCACACCCCCTGCCAGTGGGTGCCCGGCCTCAGCTCCTAAGGGCAGGTCTTCCCCCGCCCCCGGCAAGCAGAGCGGCTGCTCAGGGAAACCTTTGAGTCCTGCGGTGCGCAGTCCCCCAGGCTAGGAACCTCGCCACCACGCCACAGTTCTCTGCTGTGGGTTTGGGCATGGGGCGGCGGGCATCCCCAGGTGAGCCTGGATCCCACCTGGGCTGGGGTTCACCTGCAAACCTCATCTTCCCCCACCACCCCGCCTCCAGATGCCCCCTTTCCAGGCAGTCCCGAGTCCCAGCCAGGGCCCCTCACTTCCCCCGAAGGAATAGGAGAGGAGGGGGCAGCCTGGTGAGGGGCAGTGCCCGCTCAACAGTGCTCTCTAGAAGTCCCCTCCGCCAGGCAGAAGGCTCGGGGAGTCCTGAGGGGAGGAAGGAAAGCGGCTGCCCCGAGTTTGGGGGGGGGGGTGGAGCGGCGGACAGAAAGGGGGTGAGGCCAGAGAGGGGATGGGCCCCCCAACGGGACCTGAATGCGACAAGCCCATGTCCCACTGTCCCCCCCCCCCCCACCAAACCTCAACCGCGGCAAAACAAGGAAGAGGCAGAAATACTTATAATAGCTGGAAAGCACGAGAGCCCTGCGGGCACTGTGTGAGGGTTCGGGGCCCCTCTGAGCCCTCCTTCTTCCTCCCTACCCCCTGTCTGTACGGGGGCGGGGGGTCGCAGTGCCTCCCTGCGCCCATTCTTCCTCGATCAACCCGGATCCCACATGCCCGTTGCTCTGGGTTTCATCCCCGGGTCCGAGACATCACCCCGCTCCAACACAGGCCTTAGGAGGGGACCCCAGGGAGGCTCGGTGGGGTCCCCACACGGCCGCACAGGCTCACCGGGGGGATGTTCAGGGCCTCCCTGTAGAACACCCGGATGTCCCAGAAGCTGAAGAGGTTGGAGACGGAGCGGAGCAGCTGCACCAGCCAGAAGGCGGCGGCCAGGATGAGGAGGAGGACCAGCAGCGGGCTGGCGTGAATCCTGCGGGGGGGCGGGGGGCACAGTGGGAGAGTGGGGGCCCAGCTCTGGGGAGCCGAGCCGGGGGCAGCCCTGCACTCAGACCCACTCCTGGCGGCTGCCGGGAAAACTTCCAGGCCAGCTGTGTGCCCGGCACACGCCCTGCCCCCTGGACATTCTCTCGGACCCGCTGCCACGCTCGGCCTTCTATTGCCAGGAGTCTGCAGTGGAATGTTCCAGAAGCTGTGTGAGCTCATGCGGTGGCAGCGGCAGCGGCTGGCTGAATGTGTGTTCCAGGGCTTCTTCTCCCCTGGGGCCCGAAACACCAGCTCCCAGGCTGCCTCTGCACTCAGCCACTCACCGCTGGGCACACTGAGCCGACGGCAGGATGACATCCCTCATGGTCACCTTGCCGGGCCGCGTGCGGTTGGCCAGCTGCTGGTTGGCAAAGAGGACATTGTAGTCCACGCAGCGCAGGAGGAAGGTGGTGAAGGTGACGATGAACACGAACTGTCTGCGGGTGCAGGGGGAGTCAGGCGTGGATCGCGGGCTCCGGCCTCAGGGCCAGCACCCCGCTTCCAACCAATCCCCCACCCCTGAGCGACCGTTCAGGACCCAGGAGAGCGCCGGGGACGGAGTCCGGCGGGGCTCACCCCAGCTGGAAGAGGTCCTCCAGCAGGATGCAGGCAAAGCCGTCCCTCTGGTGGTAGCTGTAGATGTGGAGACCGTCAAGAAACAGACCAAAGTGGGGGCTGGAGCGATAGCACAGTGGGTAGGGCGTTGGCCTGGCACGTGGCCAACCTGGGTTCGATCCCCAGCATCCCATAGGGTCCCCCGAGCACCTCCAGGAGTGATTCCTGAGTGCATGGGCCAGGAGTAACCCCTGTGCATTGCCGGGTGTGACCCAAAAAGCAAAAAAAAAAAAAAAAAAAAAAGGAAAAGAAAGAGACTGAGGCAGGAGGGGCCTTCCTGGGACCCCCAAGCGCCCCCGCACCCAAAGGATATCTTGGTGAAGAAGGTGTCCAGGTTCTGGATGTGGTGCCAGGAGCCTGGGAAGAGAGGGGGTGTTGGTGGTGGCCTGGGAGAGGCCCTGGGACCCCCCGCCACGCACACACACTCACCTCGGAGCCCCTCGGGCACATGAAGCAGAGGCTGCTGCTCCTCCCCGTGGATGGGGGACTCTTGGAACCCCTCGGGGTCACAGTCCCCCAGCCGCTCATAGTCCTGCTCAGGGATCAGTGGACCTATCCGCAGCCCAGGGGGGTCCTGGGGGCACCGGCGTGAGGGAGGGGGCGTCACCGAGGCCAGGGGAGGGGCAGAGTGGGAGCCCCAGGAGGGGGCGGCAGAGATGGGGGACATCACCAGTCTCCCCTGCCCGGGGGGCGTGGCTGGAGAGGGGGGGACACTGGGGCGCGGCTGAGGGCCCCCCTGGGCCTGCCCGGCCGGGCAGGGAGGCCCTGGGGCCTGGGCGGGCTGGGAGGAAGAGGTGTTTCTCATGGGGGGAGTGGGGGACAGAGAGAAGAGGGAGACCCTCCCGCCCCCAGGCCCCCGGCAGGGAGGAGGAGGGAGAGGGGGCAGAGGCAGGGGGAGCAGGGGCACCGAGCCCGGGTCTCCCCAGCGCCCCAGCCGCCCCCGGCTCCCCCCCCAACCCATGCGTCTCACCATCTGCCCGTGGCAGTTTCTCCCCAAAGCTCGGAGGACGGGAGCTGCGGGCCCTGAAGTCTGTGCCGCGGAGCCTCTCGTCAGGGACAATGACAACAACTGCTCCGTGACTCAGTGGCGCAGGCCTCCGCGTCCCTGCCCCATCACCTGCCCAACCACTGGCACCTCCCGCCAGGGCAACCTGCGGCCACAGCCCCGGCCCCGCCTCCGGGGAGCGCCCCGCCCCCGCCCGCAGGAGGAAGCCTTGGGGAGACACCTGCACCCCTGAGGCAGGGACGCTGAGGTCAGAGGCGGCCAGCTCCCCGGGGAGCAGCAGCTAATGGGGCTGTGATGGCCAACCCACGCCTCTCCCGGGGCCCCAGGGAGGCGTTTGAGGGCCCCGAATGGGAAGACCAGTAGGAAAGAAACTGCTGGCACGTTTGTTGGGAGTTGGAAGGGAAGCGGGTCCCTTTGGCCATGGCAGCAGGGGTGGGGGGTAGAACTTAGGAGGGAAAGAGAGGAAAGGAGGGGTGTAAAGAGTGATTTGGGGCTGGAGCGATAGCACAGCGAGTAGGGCGTTGGCCTTGCATGCAGCCGACCGGGGTTCAATTCCCAGCATCCCATATGGTTCCCTGAGCACCGCCAGGAGTAACTCCTGAGTGCAGAGCCAGGAGTAACCCCTGTGCATCGCTGGGTGTGACCCCCCCAAAAAAAGTGATTTGGGTTGGCTAGAGCAGCCAAGGGGGTCCCCGTCCGTTCCAGGACGTGTACTGCCTAGCCCCTTGCGCCCTGGGCCATGGTCCTGGAAGTCCTGGTGTGGGGGACCCTGGGGTGGCAGTGGGGTGTGGGACCTGCAAGGCTTTCTCAGGGATGTGGGGATGAGCTGACGTCCCTGTCGACCTCTCAGCCACGAGGGGGAGGAGGAGGTGGCCCAGGCAGCTGGTCTGGCGGCTTGTCCAACGCCATTCTCGAGGCCCTGAGTCACCCCAAGACTCATCCTGAAGCCCATTCCTAGGGTGCCGACTCAGAGCCCCAGGTGTGGGGCCCCGGGGGGTGATGTGGTGACCAGAGCGCATGCGCGGGGAGAGGACCTGCTTGTCCCCGCCTGTTCCCAGAGAGCACAGAGGCACCCAGAGCTGCCACCCCATCGCCACCTGGTGGGTCTCTTCCTTCTTGCCAGGAGAATGCCCTGAGCCAAGTGACAAAACAGAACCTGCCCCTACCAGAGTGGGGGGTCCTGCGCCCCAGAATGGAACCCCACATTCAATGCCCTGGTCTTCACGACAGGTCTCCCTAATCTCACTCACCCTCCTGTTCCTCCACATTCTCATCAGGACACCCCCCACCCCCAAGCCCCGACCTCAAAGGCTGGCTGGCACCGTTTCCGGACCGGTTCCACCGGAAGCCTTTTGATTGACAGCCCCAGGTCACGTCGATTTATTTCCAAGGTCATTTTCCCCGCAGGCAGGCACTTGAAGGACGGGATGAGTGAGACAGTCACGGCCCCCAACAAGTGCCAGCCCGGCGGAGGAGGCAGCTTGTGCAAACAAACAATCACACGTGAGACACGCGGAAAGGAGGGGCGAGACCTGCGGGGAGGAGTGGGGGGCTGGAGCTGGGGCTGGCAGCCCCGAGCGCGGTGCCCCCTGAGCAGAGCTTCTCCTAGGGGGTGCGGGCAGTGTCCCGGGGGAAGGTGCCCCCGTTATCCGTGGTTGCATCCCCAGAGCCCGCTCCGGCCGGGGTGGGGACAGCTAAGGCGCGTTTTTTTTGCAAAACTCCGTCGCTTTTTGTCCCTGCTGCCTGGAACCAGAGGTCCACCCTCCCCCCCGCACCCCCACCGAGACGCCGGCACATCTCGAGTCCGCTAGCAGCGCCCGCAGGACGCGTCCCCCCAAGACAGCCCGTCCGAAAGGGCTTCACACACACACACCCCCCCCCCCGCCCAAACGTCATCAGCCCGCACCCCCAGGAGCCAAAGTGCAAAGCTGCACCCTGGGGCCTGGGGGCGGGCAGGCGGCGCGCGCCGTCCAATCACGGGCCGCCGGGCGGAGAAGGCCCGCCTCCCCGCGGCCCAATCACGGCGCGGCGGGAGATCGACGCGCGGCTCCGCCAATCCGCGCGGAGGCGCGAAGGGCCCGCCGGGAGCGGGGGCCGGGCCAACATGGCCGCCTGGGTGCGATCCGGGTGAGGCTGCCGTTGCCGGCCGCTCGCGCGCCGCCGCCGCCGCCGCCCCGTCATGCTGGTGCACTTCTTGCGGGTGGGGATTCGGGGGGGCTGCGCCCCAGGCCGGCCGCTGCACGCCCTCCGTCTCCAGACGTTCTCGGCCGTCAGGTAAAAGAGGGGGCGAAGGAGGTCCCGGGCGCAGGGGACTCCGGCCCGGCCCGGCCCGGCCCGGCCGGCGCGCGCGGGGCCCGCCGGGACCTGGAGTCCGGGCTCGCGCGGGGCCCGGTGGACGTGCCGGCGGCCGGCCGCGCTCGGGTGTCCCTCCCCGGGGCTCTGGTCTCAGCTCTTGACAGCCCCGTGCCAGGTGCGGCCGCAGGTGCCCGCGCCCGCGCCTGGGTCGTGCTCCCGCCAGGGGGCGCTGTGCCGCGCGCGCGGGCCGGGCCGCCCGTGACGTCACCAGTCGGGGGGCCGCCCCGCCCCGCCCCGCCCCGCCCGCGAGTCCCCGCTGAATTAAAAAGGGTCCCCACCCCGGGACACTTCCAGCGGCGAGAGTCAGCCCAGTAACTTGTACACACGTGTGTGTTTTCTTTTTTCTTTTTTTTGCTCTTTTTTTTTTTTTTTTTTTGCCTTTTTGGGTCCCACCCGGCGATGCTCAGGGGTTCCTCCTGGCTCTGCACTCAGGAATTACTCCTGGCCGTGCTTGGGGGACCCTATGGGATGCTGGGAATCGAATCGAATCCCCCCCACCCCCCGCTGTGCTATTGCTCCAGCCCCACGTGTGTGCTTTGGGGGGTCCCCAGAGAGGGACGGGGAAGGAGGTGAGAAGGACACGGATAGCATCCAGGAAAAGCCCGCCCCCCCCAGTATCGAAAGGGTCCCCCCCAGTATCAGTGTTTTCAGGAGCTGGGGGCTGCCCCCCACCCCCACGTCCAGGCGGGAGGAAGGTTCGCTGGGCCTGCCGGATGCGGCCCCCGGTGCCCTGGACCAGCCTCTGAGGGCTGGAGGGGAGGAAGCCGACCTCGCCCGCGGCCAGACTCTTGTTGAGATGCAGTTCGCAGTTCTCGGCGGTGGCCAGGCCCTCCAGACTGAGTGCAGGAGATGGCAGAGGCTGGAAAGTGGCCACGGTGAATTATTTAAAGGTTCAAAAACGGTCCCTGGGAAAGAGAGCCCTGGTATTAAGCCCAAGAGAACCCCGGGAGAAGGCATAGGCAAGTATTTATCTCTTCGTCAGTGCAGTGTTTTTTCCCGTCACAGCACAATAGATCGTGAAATGAGCTTCGTGCGTAGGGGCCGTCTCAGAGCGGATACAGGGGCCTGATGGGCTGCAGAGATAGTGCGGCCTGTAGGGTGTTGGCCTTCCTTGCACACGGCCAGCCCGGTTCCATCCCCAGCGAGGCCTAGAGTGCCCCGAGCCCCGCCAGAAGTGGTCCTTGAGCGCAGAGCCAGGAGTAGCCCTTAACACTGCGGGGTGTGGCCCAAAAACCCGAAAATAAATCAGAAGAATGAAAGTGGGCATAGGGACCAGAGAGGTAACGCAAGGCTGCCTGCGTTCCACGTGGCCGACCCTGGTCCCTGAGCACCACTAAGGGTGGCCCACTCCTGGCAGATAACAGTGAGGATGTGAATGGAATAGAGAAGCCGGAGGGGAGGGTGAGAACTCCCCATACAGAGGCTTGAAACTGCCCCCCTGAAACTCTTAGTAGCATGTAGCACTGTCCTCCCGTTGTTCGTCGAGTTGCTCGAGCGGGCCCAGTAACATCTCCATCGTGAGGCTTGTTATACTGTGTTTGGCAACATATCGAATACGTCACAGGGAGCTTGCCGGGCTCTGCCGTGCGGGCGAGATACTCTCGGTAGCTTTCCGGGCTCTCCGAGAGGGGCGGAGGAATCGAACTCGGGTCGTTGGCCATGTTGGCTGCGTGCAAGGCAAACGCCCTACCGCTGTGCTATCGCTCCAGCCCGAAATTCTTAGTATTCTTAAGTAAATAAAGTCAATAAGTGAAGTCAATGAAATAAAGTCAATTAAACAGGTAAAAATAAGCTGAAAGTAAGTATAGGGGCCGGAGAGAGAGTAAAGCAGATAAGGTGCTTGCCTGGCACGTAGCCAACCTGGGTTCGATCCCTGACAGCACCCCACCAGGCGTGGTCCCTGAGCACAGAGCCAGGAGTCAGCCCGGAGCACGGCCAGGACAGCTCTGAAGCCAATAGCAGTCTGTGAAGGCCGGGCGGGGAGAGGCGCCGAGGCTGCCCCTGCACTGTGGGTGCTGGAGGCCAGGTGGTCTGCTGTTGCAAGGGGCCTGGGGCACAGCCAGGAGTAGACCCCGAACACTGCTAGGTGTGGCCCCACTGACGAGCCGAAAGTAGGTTCAGTGGCGCTCAGGACGTCGGGAAAGTGTTGTTTGTGGAGCATCCCTGCCCGGGTAGCAACAGGCAACGGGAAAAGTCTCGTTTCCCGTTGCCTCGGGAATTCTGAGCCTGGGCACCCGCCGCCGCCGCGGGTCAGGTCGGAGCATCCTGCGTCTCTAATGATGCACTCAGCCAACAAACCGGCAGTTGCCGGATTTGCGTGTGTCCCGGAGCTCTGCTAAGTGCTGGGCTACCCGGACTTGCTGCCCTCCCGAGCACCCTGGGCCCTGCTGGGGAGGTGCTGCGGTCGCCAGGGGCGGGACTGCGGGAGGATGAGATTGCATTCATAGTGGGGACATTGAGGCACAGCAGAAAACCGGCCCTCGGGTGGGTGGCGCTTGGGCTTGGGAAGGCTGCTGAGGGGCGGGCGGGACACGTGTGCCCCCAGGAGGTGGGGGGTGTGGGACGAGGCCTGCTGCCTCCCAGGGAGCCCCTTGTGCCTCAGGCCCCCCCATCCCCACCAGCCCTGCTGTCTCCCGCCCGCTGTGCAGACCCCAGCCCGGGGCTCAGCGGGAACCGAGGCACTCACCTTGCAGCCTGGCCAGCCGGCCGGCCGGCACATCACAACCCTGGGCGCCACCAGGTGGCCCCAAAGGCCCCGATGGATGAATGAATGAATAATCTGAAATTCGGAGGGTGATGCCCAGAGGGCCAGAGAGGGCAGCACCAGCATGGGGCCCCCAAAGAGGCGCACTGGGGGACTGAAAAGAGTGAGTGCAGAGCCGGGCTCAGAGGACGTGGGCCAGGCCCAGCTTGGCGCCCAGTGCTCTCAGCTGCAGGGCGAGAGTGACAGGCCTTGGCGTCCCGTGGACACAAGGCCCAGACGCCTTGACCGTTGTCTCGGAGGCGGGATCATGCGCAGAGCAGAAGCAGGGTCGGTGCTCCCCCCTTGTAGGGGGTGGAGGGGAGGCCCTGTGTCCCCGGGGGGCAGGACGTGTGTTTCAGGCCCGCTGACAGGCAATGACTGGCCGCCAGCATGGGGTCTCCCCGCAGAGGGGGGGCCCGCCCAGGCTCAGCCCCGCGTGCTCTCTCCCACAGGTGCCCGGATGGCGGCCCCGGCTCCCACCTGCTCAAGGCCGCGGCCCACCTGCGCGCCCGGCTCCCTGCCCGCCCACCCTGCCGCAGCCCTGGGGCCTGGCGCTGGCTGGGGACGCTGCTGCTTGGCCCCGTGTTGCTGCCCGGGGCCCCGCGGCTCTACCTGGTGGCTCGCTGCGAGGCCGACGAGGCCCCCCGGGCCTCTCCCAGACCCCGCGTGGCCGAGCCCCGCTTCAACTGGAGGCTCTTCTGGCAGTTTCTGCGCCCCCACCTGGTCCTCCTGGGGGCGGCCGTCCTGGTGAGACCCCCCCCACCGCCCCTCCGGGTGGGGGAGCCGCGTGGGGCCGGGTCCCGCCTGGGAGGGGACCCGGGGCGGGGGGCGAGGGCCGGCGGGCTCCCCCTGAGCGGCGTCCCCTGCAGATGGCCCTGGGCGCGGCGCTCATCAACGTGCAGATCCCCCTGCTCCTGGGCCAGCTGGTGGAGATCGTGGCCAAGTACACACGGGAGCAGGCGGGCAGCTTCCGGGCCGAGTCCCGCAGCCTCAGCGCCCAGCTGCTCCTGCTCTATGGCCTCCAGGTAGGGGCGGGCCGGGGCTCGGGGACCCCCCTGCCCCCCGCCGCCGCCACCGCCGCCGCTGAGAGTCCGGCCTCCCCCAGGGCCTGCTGACCTTCGGCTACCTGGCCCTGCTGTCGCGCATGGGCGAGCGCATGGCCGTGGACATGCGGGGCAGTCTCTTCGGCAGCCTGCTACGGTACGGGGGCACCAGCGCGGAGACACGGGGGAGGGGGGGGGGGGAGGCCCCTCCCCCGGAGCTCACACCCGCCCTTACCCCCAGGCAGGACATTGCTTTCTTCGACGCTAAGAAGACCGGGCAGCTGGTGAGCCGCCTGGCCACTGACGTGCAGGAATTTAAATCCTCCTTTAAGCTGGTCATCTCCCAGGTCAGTGCCCACGCGCCCCACCTGCCCCCCAGGGGCCCAGGCGGTGGCCTCACCCTGGCCCCTGCCCTCCCGGGTGAGGGCGCGGTGTTCCGGCTGGGAGGTCCGCGGCGCGCCCAAGGTCAGGACGGGCTGTTTCTCCCCGGGCCGCGGCGGGCCGCCTGCCAGCAGCAGCACAGTGCCCGCCCGCCGCCCGCCTGCCCCCGGGCCTGGTGCTGCTGACCCTGTCCCCGGGCGCCCCCAGCCCCTGCCCGCGCTACCCGGGTGCGGCGTGGGCTGGCCCCTGGCCGGGACGGGGCACGGACGCCCCCACGCCCGCCTTCCCTCCCTCCCTCCCGTCCCCAGGGGCTGCGGAGCTGCACGCAGGTGCTGGGCTGCCTGGTGACCCTGTCCATGCTGTCCCCGCGCCTCACGCTGCTGCTGATGGTGGCCACGCCGGCCCTCATGGGCGCCGGCACGCTGATGGGCTCCGCGCTCCGCAAGCTGTCGCGCCAGAGTCAGGAGCAGGTAGGGGGGCCGCCCCCCCACCCCCGCGGCGCTGCCGCCCCTGCCCGCCCTCCCCGCCCGCCCGGCGTCCAGCCCCTCACTGCCCGCCCCCCACTGCCCCACAGATCGCCCGGGCCACGGGGGTGGCCGACGAGGCCCTGGGCAACGTGCGGACGGTGCGGGCCTTCGCCATGGAGCCGTGGGAAGAGGCGTGAGTGGGGCCATGCGGGCACCGAGCAGGGGGCGCCCCCGCCCTGCGCCCGGGCTGAGCCTGGCCTGTCTCCGCAGGCGCTATGGGGATGAGCTGGAGGCCGCCTGCTGCAAGGCCGAGGCCCTGGGCCGGGGCATCGCCTTGTTCCAAGGCCTCTCCAACGTCGCCTTCAACTGTGAGTGCCTGTGAGGGGCCGGGGGCTGCAGCGGGACCCCCACCGCCCCGGGGCCGCCCTCAGCCCCACCTGGTCCCCGCAGGCATGGTCCTGGGCACCCTCTTCGTCGGGGGCTCCCTCGTGGCTGGGCAGCAGCTCAGAGGAGGCGACCTCATGTCCTTCCTGGTGGCCTCCCAGACTGTGCAGAGGTGAGTGTGGCCCCAGACTGTGCAGGGGTGAGTGTGGCCCCAAACTGTGCAGGGGTGAGTGTGGCCCCAAACTGTGCAGGGGTGAGTGTGACCCCAGACTGTGCAGGGGTGAGTGTGGCCCAGACTGTGCAGGGGTGAGTGTGGCCCCAAACTGTGCAGGGGTGAGTGTGGCCCCAGACTGTGCAGGGGTGAGTGTGGCCCAGACTGTGCAGGGGTGAGAGTGGCCCAGACTGTGCAGGGGTGAGAGTGGCCCAGACTGTGCAGGGGTGAGAGTGGCCCAGACTGTGCAGGGGTGAGAGTGGCCCAGACTGTGCAGGGGTGAGTGTGGCCCAGACTGTGCAGGGGTGAGTGTGGCCCAGACTGTGCAGGGGTGAGAGTGGCCCAGACTGTGCAGGGGTGAGAGTGGCCCAGACTGTGCAGGGGTGAGAGTGGCCCAGACTGTGCAGGGGTGAGTGTGACCCCCAGACTGTGCAGGGTGAGTGTGGCCCAGACTGTGCAGGGGTGAGTGTGACCCCCAGACTGTGCAGGGGTGAGAGTGGCCCAGACTGTGCAGGGTGAGTGTGGCCCAGACTGTGCAGGGGTGAGTGTGACCCCCAGACTGTGCAGGGGTGAGTGTGACCCCAGACTGTGCAGGGGTGAGTGTGGCCCAGACTGTGCAGGGGTGAGTGTGACCCCAGACTGTGCAGGGGTGAGTGTGGCCCAGACTGTGCAGGGGTGAGAGTGGCCCAGACTGTGCAGGGTGAGTGTGGCCCAGACTGTGCAGGGGTGAGTGTGACCCCCAGACTGTGCAGGGGTGAGAGTGGCCCAGACTGTGCAGGGTGAGTGTGGCCCAGACTGTGCAGGGGTGAGTGTGACCCCCAGACTGTGCAGGGGTGAGTGTGACCCCAGACTGTGCAGGGGTGAGTGTGGCCCAGACTGTGCAGGGGTGAGAGTGGCCCAGACTGTGCAGGGTGAGTGTGACCCAGACTGTGCAGGGGTGAGTGTGACCCCCAGACTGTGCAGGGGTGAGAGTGGCCCAGACTGTGCAGGGTGAGTGTGGCCCAGACTGTGCAGGAGTGAGTGTGACCCCCAGACTGTGCAGGGGTGAGTGTGGCCCAGACTGTGCAGGGGTGAGTGTGGCCCAGACTGTGCAGGGGTGAGTGTGGCCCAGACTGTGCAGGGGTGAGTGTGGCCCAGACTGTGCAGGGGTGAGAGTGGCCCCAGACTGTGCAGGGGTGAGAGTGGCCCCAGACTGTGCAGGGGTGAGTGTGGCCCAGACTGTGCAGGGGTGAGAGTGGCCCAGACTGTGCAGGGGTGAGAGTGGCCCCAGACTGTGCAGGGGTGAGAGTGGCCCCAGACTGTGCAGGGGTGAGAGTGGCCCCAGACTGTGCAGGGGTGAGAGTGGCCCCAGACTGTGCAGGGGTGAGAGTGGCCCCAGACCGCATGTCCTTTGGAATGACACGGGGTGGGGTGACACTCGCTCATTGGCGCTGTCTCGGGTTTGGGTTTCTGGGTGCTGGCAGTGGACCTGAGGCCCCTCCCCAGGTAGGGTCACTGCTGCACGGCCTTTGTGATGGCAGCTGGGGACACTGGCGAATGACCACGTCTCGGGTCCCACACCCTTGCCACCTTCTGTCGGACCCTCTCCCACCTGTTGCTCCTGCCCCCCTCTTCCCCTCCTGATTCTGAGTCAGATACTTGGTGGACCCCGAGGACCTGTGTTTCTGGGCCACTCTGTGCCTCAGCTCCTCCATAGCTGGTGGGATGCCTGGGGGAGGCGGCCCCCAGCCCGGGCCTCTCCCTGGCCCCTCACTGCCCACCTGCTGGAGTTTTCCTGTCTGAGGTGGGCTGGGGCGGGCCCTCGCAGTCGCCAGGCCAACACTCGGGGGGGTGGCGTCTGTGGCAGTGCCCCAGCTCGGGGCAGAGGAGGCCTCCCACCCCCGGCCCCAGGGCTCGGCCGCCTCTGCCCCCCTCTGCAGGGGTCAGCTGCTCGCCCAGAAGGCCCTGCCCCCGCAGCAGCACCCAGGCCGGTGACTAAGCCACGGTGACTCACCTCCGCAGGGTGCCAGCCGGACCCACTGTCTAGACGGGCAGCAGCCCACGCCAGGGCTCTGGGCTTGGGGGAGGGGGGTCCCTGGGTCACCCTGGCCCCCAGCTTTCCCGGCCAGTTTCGTCCCCAGCCCGGGTCACCCGCGGGGCTGGGACGGGGCCTGGGACAGGCCCTCAGCTCTGCTCTTGGGGCATCTTGGGAGTCTGGCCCTCAGCTGGGGTCCGGGGGCCCCAGCCCGTCGTAGCCCTCGCGGTGCCTGCTTGGCGGCACTGCTCCCCTTTCCACGGCCCCCACACCCGCCCGTGGTGCCGCAGGAAGACCCCCAGGAGCAGAGGGTCCCCAAGGTGGGAGCCCCTTCCTCCCCCCCGCTGGACTCACCACCCCCACCCCCGAGCACCTGGGCCTGCTGCTGGCAGGACCTCGGCCATAGACCATGTCAGCACCCGCCCTGTGAGCGCTCTCCCCGTCAAGGTCATTCTAGACCCTTCCGGAGGGCAGACCCACCTGGGGTGAGCTCTGGGGTGCCCCGCCCGCGTCAGCCCCCCTCTCCCCACGCAGGTCCATGGCCAACCTCTCCGTCCTCTTCGGGCAGGTGAGCAAGCAGGGGCTGGGGAGGGAGGGGGGTCTGCAGGCCCCACCCCCACCCCCGCCCCTCACAGACTGTGCGCGCTCTTGCAGGTGGTCCGGGGGCTCAGTGCCGGCGCCCGCGTCTTTGAGTACATGACGCTGCAGCCTCTCATCCCCCTCTCAGGGGGCCACTGCGTCCCCCGGGGCCAGCTACAGGGTGCCATCTCCTTCCAGGACGTTTCCTTCAGGTGGGTCCTGCGGGGGGTGCGGGTGCGGGTGGGCGCGGGGGTGGCCCTCCCTGATGGAGCCTTGCCCCCCGCAGCTACCCCTGCCGGCCTGGCTTCCCGGTGCTCCAGGACTTCTCCCTCTCGCTGCCTCCGGGCAAGACGGTGGCCCTGGTGGGCCAGTCCGGGGGAGGTGAGTGCCTGCCCCGGGGGGCTGGCGGAGGGGCGCCCCCAGCACCTGGGAGTGTGTAACCCTCCCTGCCCGGCCTCTCCCCAGGGAAGAGCACGGTCGCCGCGCTGCTGGAGCGCTTCTACGACCCCACGGCCGGCCGGGTGATGCTGGACGGCTGGGACCTGCGTGTCCTCGACCCCTCCTGGCTGCGGGGCCAGGCTATTGGCTTCATCAGCCAGGTGCGGGGGCCCTGACATGCCCTCCCCACCCTGCTCCCGGCCCCTGACGGGTGCCTGTCCGTGCTGCTGGCGGAAGTGGTCGTAGGGTCCCGGTTGCCCTGGGGGACCCCTGGAGGTGCTGGGGGCTGCCCGAAGCCCACCCAAAGTCCCCCCTGCCTGCTGCTCAGGGGGTGCTGCTCGCGGGCGTCTGGGTCCTGTGTCGGGGAGACCAGCTCTGCCCGGGGCCGGCAGGCAGGGGCAGGAGCAATGTAGCCCCCTGTCTCTCAGGGGCCCTCTAGGGTGGGCCCCCGCCCCCGTGCCCCCGGGGCTCAGGCAGCCCGTGCCCCGCACCCCCAGGAGCCGGTCCTGTTCGGCACCACCATCATGGAGAACATCCGCTTTGGGAAGCCGGACGCCACGGACGAGGAGGTGTACGCGGCTGCCCGCGAGGCCAATGCCCACGAGTTCATCCTCAGCTTCCCGGATGGCTACAGCACTGTTGTGGGTGAGCGCGGCCCCTGCCCCTCGCTGGCCCCCAGGGGCCCGTCCAGGCCCTTCCCAACTCCTCACGTCTCCTCTTGCTGCGCTCGTTGGCGCGGGCCCGAAGCCCCGGCCGCCTCGGGGGTTGTGCCGCTCAGTGGTCTCAGCCTGATTGCAGGACCTTCGGCGTCACGAAGGGGCCGTGGCACCTGGCCCAGGCGCCATGCAGCTGCCCCAGGTCAGGCTTTGCACATGGCCCTCGGGCGCCGGGGTGGCCCTCTGCCCCTCAGGCCACCGCCCTGTCATCCACTCTGGCACCTGGGCTCCGCGTTCCGGTGCCGCTTCCCTGCCCCGTCAGACCCAAAGGCTCGGGGCGGCCCCACGGGCCCGGGCCCTCTGTGGTGACCCCGGGCACACTCTGTGGTCCCCCGCCCTCCATGCCCGCAGGTGAGCGGGGCGCCACGCTGTCTGGGGGCCAGAAGCAGCGCCTGGCCATTGCCCGCGCCCTCATCAAGCAGCCTGCGGTGCTGATCCTGGATGAGGCCACCAGCGCGCTGGACACCGAGTCGGAGCGGGTAGTGCAGGACGCCCTGGACCGCGCCAGCGCCGGCCGCACCGTGCTGGTCATCGCGCACCGGCTCAGCACCATCCGCGGGGCCCACCGCATCGTGGTCATGGCGCACGGCCGCGTCTGTGAGGTACGGGCGCATCTCCGAGAGACGCTCAGACGGGGGCGTCCAGGGTGGGCACGGCAGGACCCCGGGGGCCGTGGGGACGGGCTGCTGGGGCGGGGGCCTGGTCTCCGGGGTCCGGGTGACAAGCGCCTCCCACGTCCCCCCCCAGGTGGGCACCCACGAAGAGCTTCTGAAGAAGGGCGGGCTCTACGCGGACCTTGTCCGCAGACAGGCCCTGGACACCCCGCCCCCCGTCTCCCCCCACGACGCCGGGGACCCCCGCCCCGAGTCCTGAGCGCGGCTGGGGCTGAGCCTGAGGCTTCTCCCTGGACACGGAAGCCGGCCACCGCTGGCCAGGGGAGCCCCAGAGCCGCAGCGTGTGCCGACGGGGGGTCTGCAGGGGCACAGGCCTGAGTGTGGCCAGTGCTGACGAGGCCTTGAAGCCACTCCTGGACTCAGCTCCTGCGTGTTGGCCCCGTGGCCGCCCTGGCCCGTGCCAGACACCTGCCGCTCTGGGCTCTGCCAGGCCCACCCAGGTGGACACCTGAGTCGCAGCTAATCCGACTTGCGCAAGGAGGCCGTGGCCATCGCCCGCAGACGGAGCACCTGAGGCTGCATGCACCCAGAAGCGGGGGCCGGCCCTGAGGATCAGAGGCGCAATCTCAGAGGCTCCCTGAGGCGGTGTCCCTGGTCAGCACAGGCTTGCTCCAGCCAAGCCCTGCCCCGCGCCCTACCGCTTCTGTGCTCCCATGGCCCATCCCACTTGGGTTCTGATCCAGAACTTTTCCCCCCATCGACCACGTCCAGAACAAGGACTGTCTGCTGACTCCGATGTCAGCCGCGTGCCAGAACCGCAGCCTGGGGCACAGGCCCCAGAGCCAGGCCTGGGTTCAGGACCGGGTTCAGGACCGGGGTGCTCAGCTGCTCCAGAGACCAAGGGCCTGGGCTCCGTCATGGCCACCACTGCCAAAAGCCAAGCGCAGGGCCAGCTCTGGGCCTCGGCTGTTCACTGCACACCTCCCCCGGGGAAGCCGGCCTGGCCTGGCACCTGGGTGTGAGCCCAGCCCCTCCCCCAGGCTGCCTCCGGCAGCCCCATGCCCAGGAAAGCCACCACGAGCCACGAGCCAGGCCCGTCCATCCGGTGCTTGACCGCCTGGCACTGCGGCCCGTGACGGGCCCTGAGCCCGGCGGCACCTAATCTCCAAAGCTCCTTTGAGGAGTTTGAACAGGATGATCTGTGTCTGGTACTGAGCCCTTGCGGCTCTCACCTGGAAGCCAGGTGGGCGGCCCCAATAAACCACATCCGTCCAGCCTCGCTCCGGAATGCTACTTACAGAAGCCGCGGGCCCCTGGGCGCCTCTCACGCATTCACAGGGCCAAAACACTCTTGCTCGTTGTGTCGGCGGGAGCGAAGATGGGAGGGCCTGGGGCCCCAGGCGGATGCTGGCGCTCTGCCCTGCTCCTCGTCCCCCCGTGCTCCTTGGCCCCTTGGCCCTTGACCCCACGTGCCCTCAGGTGGGCTGCCCAGCCAGGAGGCCCCCTCTAAGGAGCACAGTGCTCTTGTTCAGGGCTCTCACTGGCGGTGCTCAGAGCTTACTCCAGGCTTGGTGCTCAGGGGTCACTCCTGGCGGTGTTGCGGGATCCCATAGGGTGCTGGGGATCGAATCTGCGTCGTCCACGTGTGAGGCCGGTGCCCTGCCTCCTGCACACTCCGGCCCTTCAAGGCCCGTGCCTTGTAGCCATCAGGGGTGCTAGAGCTGTGTCACCCCATGCCCACCTGCCACCACCCTGCGTCTGTTCCTGGCGTCTGTGTCTGCAGCCCTGACCGGGCCCCCACCCCATCCTGGGCCATATCCCATGTAATGGGGACAGGGCGGTTCCCGCTGCCAAGCACGGGGGTGACCCGAAAGGCCTCCTTGGGAAGGTCAGGTCCCAGCGCCCGTGACACCTGGGCACGGGCCCCGGGTCTGAAGGCCTGGCCAGGCTGTGGCGCCCAGGAAGAGGAGGCGGCCGCGGTCACTCCCCACCTCCTGCAGCCTGGTCCGGGGCCAGTTCTGCAGAGCCCTGATCCAGGAGCAGCCGGGGAAGAAGGGGCCGGCCAAGGGTCAGCTGCTGACCTCAGGGCCTGAAGCAGCCGCACAGGACCCCCGCTCCGCCCGGCTCCCTTGGCCCTCGCCCGGCCCTGCAGGGCTGCGGTTTCCTGCTGGCGCCTCTGCCTGCTCGCCCACGGCCCCCCTCACCGCACTAATGGCTCAGCCTGGGGCCCCAGGGACTCCCCCGCTGCCCCCCCCCACAGCTCTGGCCCCCCGGCCCCCAGGATGCTGAAACCCAATCCTCTGCGGCAGCAGCTCGGTTCACTCCGGGCAGCGCTGCCTCCAGCACAGACGTCCTGCAGGCCAGCAGGGAGCAGCTGCCGAGCCCCGGCCCGCTGCCCCCAGAGGGCCCGGCGGACCCCCACCCGTCGCCTCCCCTCCGGCCAGGCCAGTGCCATCCGCCTCCCGGTCCCGGCTCCTCTCCGCTTCTTGCGCGCGCGGTCACCCGGCCCGGAGACCCTCGTCCCGTCCCCCACGTCCTGCGGGTGCTGCGCGTGTCCGCCTCCCCGCCAGCTCCCCGGCCGTGGCATGAAGCCCCCCGCGGCCCTGGAGGAGGCGCGGCGGCGCCGGGCGTCGGACATCCGCGTGTTCGCCAGCAGCTGCACCCTGCACGGGCTGGCGCACGTCTTCGGGCCGGGGTCCGCGACGCCGCGCCGCGCGCTCTGGGCGGGGGCCGTGCTGCTGGCGCTGGGCGCCTTCCTCTTCCAGGTGGTGGGCCGCGTGCGCTACTACGGGGAGTTCCACCACAAGACGGCCCTGGACGAGCGCGAGAGCCACCGGCTGACCTTCCCCGCGGTGACCCTGTGCAACGTGAACGCGCTGCGCCGCTCCCGCCTCACGCCCAACGACCTGCACTGGGCCGGGCCCGCGCTGCTGGGCCTGCACGCCGCGCACCACGCCGCCTTCCTGCGCGCCCTGGGCCGCCCGCCCGCGCCCCCCGGCTTCATGCCCAGCCCCACCTTCGACGTGGGCCGCCTGTACGCGCGCGCCGGCCACGCCCTGGAGGACATGCTGCTGGACTGTCGCTTCCGCGGCCGCCCGTGCGGGCCCGAGAACTTCACGGCGGTGAGATCCCGGCCTGGCCACCCTGGGGGTCCCGCCTGCCCGGCGCACCCCCTGCGAACCCCAACCCTGCCTCCTGCTCAGCCCAGAGGCCACCGTCCTCCGGGGATCCCCTTGGCACCACCCAGGCCCACGACAGGGGCCCAGAACACACTCCCGGCCCCCACCCAGCCCAGCTCCGCTGTGGAGACCCCTCCCTGCCAGTGGGGGACTGTCATTCCCTCCGTCCCTCTGCCCCCATCTCCAGACGCTCCTGGAGAGGACAAGTGAAGGGGCCCCGGGCGCGTCCTACAGGTGGGTGGGGGGCACAGGGCGGTAAGTTCTGGGGCAAGCACACAGGACAGAGGCAGGGGCGCCCCACCCCGTGCTGCTGGGGGGAGCAGGCTGGCATCCCGTCCCCCCCCCCAGATCTTCACGCGGATGGGGCAGTGCTACACCTTCAACTCCGGCACCAACGGGGCCGAGCTGCTGACCACGCCCCAGAGCGGGGCAGGCAACGGGCTGGAGGTGATGCTGGACGTTCAGCAGGACGAGTACCTGCCCGTGTGGAAGGACACGGGTACGGCCCGGCCGCACAGGCCAGTCTCGGGCACTGGACGGAGACACCAAAGGCCGGGGAGGCCGGGGCGGGACCATCTTCAGAGGGGCCGCACTTAAGCGCGTGGCCGCCCAGGGATGGGTCTCGCCCTGACTCGGGGCCTGCCCCCCGCAGAGGAGACCCCGTTTGAGGTGGGGATCCGAGTGCAGATCCACAGCCAGGAGGAACCCCCGGTCATCGACCAGCTGGGCTTCGGGGCAGCCCCAGGCTACCAGACTTTTGTGTCTTGCCAGCAACAGCAAGTATCCTGGCCGGCAGGACACTGCTCTCAGCTCCTGGCCTGCCCCTACTGTCCCTGCCCCTGACCCCGCCACACCCCTACCATGCTCTGCAGGAGGGACTGAGACTCCTTAACCCACCTCTTCAGCTGAACTTCCTGCCTCCGCCCTGGGGCGACTGCAGCTCAGCCCCTCTGAACCCCGACTTGGAGCAGGACCCTCCCGACGCCCCCAGCCCCAGCCCGGGGCCCAGTCCACCCTATAGTCTGACGGGCTGTCGCCTGGCCTGCGAGGCCCGCTATGTGGCCCGGAAGTGCGGCTGCCGGATGATGCATATGCCGGGTCAGAGTCTGGGGGAACCGCACTGGGGGTGGGTGGGTGGGTGTGTGTATGGGTGTGGGGTTCCCTTGCCTGAAGTAGACTCCTGCACCCCACCCCAGGCAGCGCGCCCGTGTGCAGCCCCCAGCAGTACAAGGATTGTGCCAACCCCGCGCTGGGTAAGGGCCAAGCCCCGCCTCCCCCTCCCCCTCCCCCGTCCGCGGCGCGGCCGCCCCCTGACTCTGCGGCCGGTGACCCTCAGATGCCATGCTGCGCAAGGACGCGTGCGCCTGCCCCAACCCCTGCGCCGTCACGCGCTATGCCAAGGAGCTCTCCATGGTGCGGATCCCCAGCCGGGCCGCCGCGCGCTACCTGGCGCGGAAGTTCAACCGCAGCGAGGCCTACATCGCGTGAGCGGGGGCGCGGGTCGCGGGGGTGCGGGGCGCCGGGGGTCGCGGGGGCTCGTGGCGATCCTGGGCGCCAGGGGACGCGGGGCGCCGAGGGACGCGGGGCGCGGAGGGCTGGGACGGCCGCGCCGCGCAGACATCCTCTGTGCACCTCCTCTCGGCCGCGTTCTCAAGCGCGCACTGCTTCTCTCCGTCCCCACCCCCCACCCGTGTCTTCTGAAGCCCCCTTCCCTGCCGTGAGGTCCCCCGCTAGGGCTTTCCTTGAAAGGAGCCCAGGGAGCCACTGGCTTTCTCGTGGGAGGCCGCATGCAAGGGGACGGACGTTCCCTCCTCTTCCTCCAGGGAGAACGTGCTGGTGTTGGACATCTTCTTCGAGGCCCTCAACTATGAGACGGTGGAGCAGATGAAGGCCTACGAAGTGTCGGAGCTCCTGGGTGGGTGGGTGGGCGTGTACACCCAAGCCGCCCCCCCCCACCCTCCCCCGTGTGCGGGCGCGGGGGCTGAGCTGATGTCTCTGCAGGCGACATCGGGGGGCAGATGGGGCTGTTCATTGGGGCCAGCCTGCTCACCATCCTGGAGATCCTGGACTACCTCTGCGAGGTGGGTCCCCCCCCCCCCCCGCCCCCGGAGAAGGAAGGAAGGAGGCGCAGGGCCAGGCAGGGGGCCTGCACACACCACCTCCTCGCTGTCGCCCTCCCAGGTCTTCCTAGACAGGGTCTTGGGCTACTTCTGGAACCGAAACCGGAGGCGCTCCCAGAGGCACTCCAGCACCAACCTGGTGAGGGCACCTTCTTCCTCCCCTGCCAGCTGCCGCGTGGGCGCCGAGCCCGACTCCCGCCCAGCCCAGGAACCCCTCGTGGTGCCTCCTTCATCCGATTTCTCCTCCCGCAGCTTCAGGAAGGGGCGGGTGGCCCACGCACCCCCGCGGCCCAGCTCACCCTGGACCCCAGGTAAGGGTAAACGGCCCCCGCAGGGCGAGCGAGTCGGCAGTCCTGGTGGGCAGGGACGGGACGCTGGGGCGGCTGTGAGGAAGCCCGGCCAGCCCTGGTTGTGTCTCCCCAGGCCTCCCACCCCGCCCTGCGCCATCGCCAAGACGCTCTCGGCCTCCCACCGCACCTGCTACCTCGTCACGCGCCTCTAGGCTGCGGGGCTCGGCCCAGGCCCTTCCCCGACACCCGCACGCCGTCCTGCACATATCTTTGCCACCTTCACCCCAAATAAAGGTCCTGCATCTGCCTCGGGTGTTGGTCTGACAGTAGCAGAGAACAGTCGCACCCGGGGATGGCCCAGGCCGCCTCCACCCCAGGGCAGCCAGGAGCGAGGGTATGGGCAGGATGTGTGTGGGGCGGAGGGATGAGCTGAGCAGAGCCCTGCGTCATGGGAGGGGGCAGCAGGGGACGCCCCACAAACACGCCCGCCTGCCTTGGAGATGGCGACTCTCACACCTGGGACTCAGCGACAGCATCCCGTCTCCATGGAAACAGCAGAAGGACCGGAGGGCTCCTGGCTCTAGATGCTGGTGGGGGGGGGGGCATACCCCTGACCCCGCCTGCCCATGTGCCCTGCTCTCCTGTCCCCCAAATATAGGGAATGAGAAGTAGAGGCAGGAAGGGGGGCCCGGATCGCCCCCACCTTTGGGCTTCTCGATCCACGGTGCATGTGTGGGAACCAGGAGACCAGGCAGGCACACGGGGGCCCCAGGGGGGCTGTGCCGGGCCCGCCCGCTCCCCCACTTCCGGAGGAACCATCCTGGCCCTCAGCTGCCTGCGTGTGGAGCCGGAGTAGGGCTGCGGGGGTGGCAGACCCCAGGCCGTGCCCCCCACCCCCACCCCAGCCACTGCACACCTTAGCCAGCGTGGGAAAGGAGCCAATTTATGAAATTCAATAAAGTCCGTGGAGGGAGCGAAGGGCCTGCGTGCCGCCCCCCCACCCCCCGCCCACTGCCCAGCACAGCTGGGGCTCGCACCCTGCCCTCCTGGGGGCGGCCGAGAGACCAGGCCCCAGCCTGGCAGCCTGGGCCCCGCGCCTAGGGAGGGCAGAAGTCGGAGAAGTAGGGGTGCTGCAGGGCCTCCTCTGCGGAGATGCGCTGCACCGGGTTGCACTTGAGAAGGTTCTGGAAGGATGAAGAGGGGGGTGGGTCAGAGCCGCAGCCTCCTCCAGCCGCCCACCGTGGGCACCCGGGGCCCCCCGCCCGCTCACCTGCAGCAGGTCCCTGCCCGTGGCATTGAGCTTGGGGACGACGTTCACCAGCGACGCCGTGGCCGGGTACATGGGGTAGGGCTGTGGGGACGGAGGGTCAGACGGGGCCTGGGGGCTGCCAGGCCACGATCTGGGCGAGGCCGGGGGAGGGTCCCGGGGAGGCCCACCTTATAGTCGGGCAGCTTGGTCATGGCGGGCCACTGCTCCTCTGTAGGGGTGCCCAACAGTGTGTCCAGGGGGTCAAGGGTCACTCAGTGGAAGGGGCAAGCGGGGCTGGGACCAGACCGACGGCACGACAGGGAGGGCGTCTGCCCTGCGCACGAGCGACCCGGATCTGATCCCCGGCAGGAGGAGGGGTCCCTGGGTGCAGCCTGGTGTGGCCCCCAAGTCAAAATATAAAAGCAGGGTGGGGGGGCGTCTGCCTTGCACACAGGTGACCTGGGTTCGATTCCCAGCATCCCATAGGGTCCCGGAGCACTGCCAGGAGTGATTCCTGAGTGCAAAGCCAGGAGCAAGCCCTGAGCATCACTGGGTGTGACCCAGAAAGCAAAAAAAAAAAAAAAAAAAAGGGGGCAGGGTTGGGGGGAGGGTCTCTGCTGTCCTGCTGAGATTCCTCACTCCGTCCTCACCCTGACCCGTGGTCACCTCAGACCCACCTGCTCCCCAAGGGGGCTGGGGAAGGGCTTTACCGCCAGCATCAATGACCTTGACCGGAGCCCACCTAGGCCGAGACGGTCAGCGGCGTAAGTCTGAGGCAAGCTGCTCCGGCCCCCTCCCAGGGTCCTCCCGCTGTCCCCCAAGCGTCCACATCCTCTCCCCTAGCCCTGGCCAGGGCACCGCCAGCCGTGGAAGGATATCGGAAGATCCGCTTCAGCTGGTCATCCACGTCATTGCCCGGGAAGAGGGGCCGCCCTGCGTTGGCCAGCTCTGAGGGGACACAGGGGGGTGAGGGAGGACACAGGGGAGAGCCCCGCCTCCCCAGGGACCCCCACATGCCTGCGCCGCCCCAGCGGGTCACCTGCGAAGATGCAGCCGGCTGACCACATGTCAATGGACGTGGAGTACAGCTTAGCCCCGAAGAGTACATCCGGCGGGCGGTACCACAGTGTGACCACCTGCAGAACACGCCACCCCCCCCGCCCGGCAACGCCCCACTTAGAGGCTGGGGGGAGGCGCTCTGAGGAGGAGGAGCTGAAAGACGTCAGCTGGGGACCCCTCCCTCACACCCACAGCCCTGGCCTGCTCACCTCGGCGGAGTAACAGCGCACGGGGATGCCAAAGGCTCGCGCCAGGCCGAAGTCTGCCAGCTTCAGCTCCCCGTTCTAGGCAGAGATGACAGGGCATGGAGAAGGGCGAATGGAGACAGTGGGGGCAGCGCCCCCCGCCCTCCTCCCCCACAAAGCCGCACCCTGTTGATGAGCAGGTTCTGGGGCTTCAGGTCTCGGTGCAGTACGTTGCGGCTGTGGCAGAACCCCAGGCCCTTGAGCAGCTGGAAGAGGAAGGACTGGGGGGCCCGAGAGAGGGGCCACAGGGGTCACCTCTCCTCTGCCTGGATCAGGGGCCCCGTGGGCTGCTGCCCGGGCCCCCACCAGCCACGAGCAGGCGTGGAGAGTGTGTGTGTGTGGCGGGGGGGGGGGGGGGAGTCTCGAACCACTCCTCTCTGCACCCCCCCCCCACTGCAGTCACCCCGAGATCCCAGGGAGATCGTCGGGGTGGGGCCCGAGGCCTGACACTCCACCCACACCTCGGCGTCCCCGGGCCTCTCACCTTCACGATTTCTGGATCTAGGTCACCATTGCAGCTGTCAAAATACTTCTTCAGGTCCTAAGGGGGTGCGGGGGCGGGGGATGGAGTTGATGCCACCCGGGGTGGGCCCCCCCTGATTCCTTCCAGGCCACTGTCCTCCCCATCCTAGTCACCTGGTCGCAGAACTCAAACACCAGCGTCAGCTTCTTGTCGCTGTGCAGAACGTCATGGAGCCTGGAGAGAAGCAAAGGCCCGGCCAGGTGGGTACCGGGTGGGTGCTAGAGGGCCCCCTTCTCCCCACCCCCCCACCCCCTCCAGCCCCTCTGAACCCTGCCTCCTACACACCTGACGATGTTCTTGTGCTTGAGTTCTTTGAGGAGGCAGATCTCCCGGAGGGCGGAACTGGGCACCCCCTACACAGAGGCGGGCGGGCAGGCCTGGTCACACCACCCCAGCCCACCAGCCTTCGACCCCCCCCCCCCGCCCCCCGCAGCCCCCTGCCCCCACCTACTTCATCATCGTCGTCCAGCCGCACCCGCTTCAGAGCCACGATCTCATGCGTCTCCCGGTTTTTGGCTTTGAACACGGTTCCGTAGGTGCCTTGAGGAGGGGAAGCCAGGGCTGAGGAGCAGGGCGGGGTGCCCCTCCTCACCCCGGGGAGTCCCCCTGGGGATTTTCTGATGCCGAGGGGGAGCAGGGAGGGAAGGGATGCGAGGAGGCGCAGGGCAGCGGGGAGACGCTGCCGCCGCCCGGGTGGGGGCCGGGGTGAGAGGGGGCGCCCTGGCAGGGTCTGGGAAGCGTGAGCCGGGGGTCCGGGCGGGACATGGGGGCGCAGGGGGGCAGCAAGGAGGAACGCCGGGGCTGGACATCTGCAGCGAGGGCTGGGGACGCGGGGAGCGAATGCAGGAAGTGTGAGGTCCGGGGGTCCGCTGGGAGGCCGGGAAGGGGCGTCTGCGGGCAAAGCTAACGTGGCGGGGCGGGTGGTGTCTGCACGGGGGGCTACGCGAGGGCCGGGGTGCAGCCAGTGCTGAGTCGGGGTGCCTGTTGGGTTATTGCTGACGGTCGGGGAGCCAGGGCTGCAAGGGGTACTGAAGGGTCTGCAGAGGTAAGATCTTGCAGGACCATCTCGTGGTCCCATTACCTTCCCCAATCTTCTCCAGTTTTTCGTATTTCTGCATCGCGGCGGCCGCGGGGACCCCTGCGGGCCCTCGGTGCTAAGACTTTGGCCACGGCGTTGCAGAGGAGGCGGTACCCCAGTCCCCAGCCCTGCCCGCCCTCCTGGTCGCGCACGGGCTTCTGGGACTTGTAGTCCAAGGGCCGCCGCCCCTGCCGGGCGCGCCCGGAACTTCAGCCGACGGGACTACAAGCCCCAGGAGGCCGCGGCGCGGCTCTCCGCAGTGCTCGCATCCCGGGGCCCCGCGTCCACCGCGGAGGCGAGCCCGGGACTCCAAGTCCCAGGACGCACCGCGTGTCCGCCTTCCGGCCGTACCCGCCGCGGCGCCCCGGCTCCCAGGATGCTCCGCTCTTGTTGTTCTCGTCTGTGCTCGCCAGCCGAGTGTGCAAAGGGCCTCCCCGGCCACCCGTTCCCGAGGGCCGCAGGGGAGGGGTCGGGGTGGGTGGGGCGCCCCCGGGGTTTGATCTGGCGGCCCGCAGTACGTCGTCGGGCGCCTGGCCTGGCCAGTCGGGCTCTCCCCGCTGCCCTCTGGGCCGCCTGGTAACCCGATTAGGGAGGGGCTGGGGCGTCATCCCGGCCTGGCTGAGGATGGATGGACCACCCGGGCTAGCCGGCCGCAGGGGCGGGGGGAAGAGGGGCAGGTGTGCGCCCATCAGAGGCTATTTAACTGACCCCCCCCTCCCTCCCTCCCTCGGGGCCGCGATCGTCATCCGGGGTTGCCCCCTACACAAGCCGGCTGCGGCCCGGGGTCCCCGCCACCCCCGCCCCCCGCGTCGGGCACCGGAGCTCGGGACCCGCTGGAGCGAGCCCGGCCCGGGTGTGGCCGTGGGTCACCGCCCTCCGCAGACCCAGGCGCAGACGGGCAGCCCTCGCGGCAGCCTTGACCTCATCCCTCGGGGCCTTGATTATAGATTTTCCCGTGCTGCTCTCTAATTGTCTCCCGATTGCATTCTTGAGGGCTGCGTGAGCCCAGCACGGCCCGGACGGGGCTCCCCTCCCGCCTGCCCGCGACCGGGCCAGGGTGGGCGCTAAGCACGTGTCCATTAACTCTGGCCTGTCCCAACGAACAGTTGCCATGCCAGCCTGCCTGCCGCACGGCGCCCCCGACCCCCGCCCCAGACCAAAGCAGCAAAGGAGTCGATGATTTCCTCATCTGCGAGAACGTCCAGTGCAGCGGGGAAGCCGGCAGTCCGGACAGCACCGGGCAGGCCAAGCCTGCGGACGGGGCGGACTCCGTGTGGAGGAAGAGGGGCAGCGGGGGACACGACCCCCGGGCCGGCAGAGGCCACCCCGCCCGGCCCCCTGCTCCCCACCCCCACCCCGCCTACCTTCCGTTCGCAACGTCTAGGTCTGCGCTGGGGAAAGGCCATCCGACCTCCGGGCCCCAGGACCCCCCAAGGATGTCCCCCCGAGCACAGACAGGGTCTTTGGTGGAGGTGTCGGGGGCGGCGGGGGCGGAGTATGAACACGGGCGCACCTAGACTCCCACCGCGTCCGCCCGCCCGGCCGTTTCGGACGGGGCGTGGGTGACCGTTTGGCCGCGGGCGGGGATCCCCGGCGGGAGGCGGGCGCCCTGGGGCCGAGCGGCGCCTCCTGGGGCGCAGAGGCGGCGTCCCCGGGGGCCCGGGTCCCCCAGCGGGGCCGGCGGGCGCGGCGGCCGCGGGGGGCGGCCCGGCGGGCCCCGCGCCCGGCGCCCGTGCCGGGCCGTGCCGGGGCGCGCGCGCGCCCGCCCCCGGGTCTCGCCCCCGCGCCCGCCTCCCCACCCGCGCGGGGCCGCGCACGGTGCGCCGGGGGGCGCGCACGCAGGGGGCCGGCCTGCCCGCGGCGCGGGGGAAAGTTGAGTTGGGAGAAGTTGGGAGCGGCGGGGACGCGCCCCGAGGTGGGCACGGGGCACTCGGCGGGAGCGCGCGAGGGCGCCGGAGGACCCGGAGCGACCCCGAGACCCCCCCGGGGGCGCCGCGCCTCGAGCCAGCGGGTGAGCGGAGAGGTGGCGGCGGGCGGGGGAGGGCCGGGCGCCGCAGGGAGGAGGAAGGGAGGGGAAGGGAAGGGAAGGGGGGAACTCGGGACTCGGCGCGGGAGGGAGTGGAAGTGGAGGGAAGGGCGGAGACTGGGGCGCGGGGAAGCCGGGACTCGGGGCGCGGGATGCGGAGGCGAGCGGGGATCGCCCCGGGCGCCGCGGGCTCGGCGTGCCGCGCCCCCCGCCGCCGGGAGCGGGGTGGTCCCCGGGCGGCGCCGCGGGCCTGGCCGCTCGCGGCCCGCGCTGCCCGCCGGCACCCCGCCGGCCACCCCGGACCCCCACTTTCGGGCCCGGCCGCGCGCCCGGCCCGGGGGCTTTCCCGGGGCCTCCGCCCCCGACCTCGGGCTGGGAGGCGGAGCCGCCCGGCGGGGGTGTGTGTGGCGCCGGGTCAGATCAGGACAAGGGGGTCAGGCGGCGGAGGGAGCGGCCGGGTGGGGAGGGGGCCCGCCTGGCCCGCGGGCTCGGGGGCCGCTTGCCCCTGGGCCCCGCCGGCCCCACGAGTCGCTGTGGAATGTACGAGCTCGCTTGGGTGGTTAATAACCCAAGCGGGGGTCCAAGGTGCTAACGTGCTAATCCTTGGGGGGGATGCTAATCCTCCGGGCCGGTCGGGGCCGGTCCCCGGAATGTGCCCCCACCCGGGATTACGGGCCCCGATGTCCTGCACAGAAGCGGCTTTGTGCGCGGGGCGGCGGCGGGGGAGGGGCGGGGGAGGGGCGCAGGCCCCGGAGCGGCACCCGAGGGCACGGGGGCACCTGCCGGCGGCGCGCGCGCGCGCGGGGCCCCTCCACGCCCTTCCCCACCGGCTCCCTCCCCGCCCCCAACAGACGTGCCCTGGCCGAGGGCCTGCAGGGGGGGAGGTGAAGAGAGCGGTCAGCTGAGTTGAGTGCTGGCCAGGAATGTGTCACTCCGGGCTCCCCACCCGGGCCTGACCCCCAGGAACTGTGCCATTTGACCCGACACTGACCTGCCCGACCCCCGCCCCGTCAGCGAAAGCCTGCGACCCGGTCGTCTCCCCCTGCCCCCACCCCCACTCCTGGGGCTCGGTACATTGGTGCACTGGACCCCCGGGTCCCCCACCGGCTCCAGCCCGTGCCCCACGAGTCGCCCTGCCCCAGTCACCGTCAGGAGGCCTGGGCCGCGGCTGCTCACATTTTCCTGGCCCGCGGGGCTGCCCCTCGGGGCCGGGGCCCACCCTCCCGGCCCGCATGCGCCCCTCCCCCAGCAGAAATTGTGCCCCGCGGTGCCCGCCTGCCCCCTTCCTGCGCCCCGCCCCCCGGCCGCCGGCCGTCATCTGGGGGCACGGCCCGCCCTGCCCGGCCGCCAGAGTCGCCGCAGGCCCCCTGCCTCTCTCTTCGCTCGGGCTCTCCTCCCTTCCTGTCTGACACCCGCCCGGGCCTCGGTGGGCCCCACGGCCGCGTCCAGCCGGGCCGCCTGTCCTTCTCCCTTCCTTCCGCCTCTCGGTCTCCCTCCTGGCCCCGGCCTTTCTCCCCGGGGCCTCTCCCACCTTCCTCTCCCCCACGCCGCCTCCGGCCCTGGCCGCCCGGCTCCTTGGCCTCGTCCTCGCCCATCTCTTTGTTCTGCCTCTGTCTCCCCGTTCCTAAGAGCCCTCCGCCAGGCTCCTGGGCCCGCGCTCATGGGGTGACCCGGGACTCTGCGCCCCCCAGGTTATGCCGCCGCCTCGTCGCCCTGAAAGCCGCAGCGACAGCGAGAAGGGCTAAGATTTGGCCATGAGCAGCGGCCCCCGGCGCCCCACCGCGGGCGCGGACGCCTTCCGCCAGGTGAGATGCGCCCGCGAGTGTGCGCGCGCGCGCGCGCTCGGCCACAGGTGCGCGCCGCATCCCGGCCACCTGGCAGCCGCCAGTGGGGTCTCTGGGAGGTGGGGGGCGCGCGCGCTCTGCCCCGGGCTGGGGCGGAGGCCGCTGCCCAGACTGTTCGCAGAGCCTGGGGGTGGGGAGTGGCCCCTGGGTCTCTAACCCGAACACTAGTAGCACGGGGGGGGGGTGGTGGTGGGGGGGTCCCTGGGTCTCTAACCCGAACCGCCTCCCTCCCCAACCCGGCCTTGGAGAGGCTAGAGCAGCCGGCCGGGCGGGCGCGCTCCGCTCCACTCCAGGGTGCTGGACCGAGCTCCCACGCAGGGCCCGGCTCCGCCCCCGCCCCACGTGCCGCCCGGGCCCGCCCCCCGCGCCCCCACGTGGCCGCCGCCCCACGTGTCCCCCTCCGACTTTCCTGGGAACTTCTAATGATTAACCCCCGGGCGCCACGATCAGCCCCTTATTGGTCACTGTGTCCAGGGCGGCACGTGACTGGGTAGGGGCGTGGGCGGGTCTGCTCACTCCCCCCCTTCCCGGTTCACCCCTGCCGGCCATGGACTTCCTCCTGCGGCCTCAGGTGCGAGGGGCTCGCGACCCCCCTGTCCCTTCCTTGCTTGGTCCCCCGCCTTGGCCGCCGCCCGCTGGCCGCCGCCCGCCTGGGCCGCCTCGCGCCCCCGGCTGCCCTGCTGAGATGGGGCCGAGCTGGGGGGGGGGCGCAGGGCAGCCCCGGCCCCCTGCCCCGCGCCGCGCCCGCATCTCCCACCCGCACCACGCCCACCCTCCCGACCCCGCGTGTCCCCGGGGGCTCCATACCCCGCCCTCGAGTGCCCCCGGCGCCCTTCAGGGCCAGAAGCCCTTGAGCAAATATTTGGTGGTGCCTGGAGCTGAGATGGGCCGGGGCGTGGCGGGGGTCCTGGCCGGGGCCTGGCGGGCGCCCGCCGCAGCCGCCCATCAGGCCAGCCTGGCCCGGCCCTGCAGGCGCCGCAGTCCCTGGCCCGGGCTCCCCGCAGCATGACTCAGGTGGGGGTGGCGGGGGCGGGGCTGGGCGCAGGGCCGGGGGGCGGCCCGGCGCCCCAGGGGCCAGCCCCCTCTCCCCGAAGGCCTCCTGGGCCCCTTCCCGGGGCCGAGGCTCGGGCCAGGACGGCCACCTAGCCGGGGCTCCTGCAGAAGTTGGTTTCGGGGCTCGGCCGCTGTGCTCCAAGTGGAGAGAGCTGGTCACTGCATCTCCCCGCGGGCCCGCGCGGCCCCGGCAGGGCAGGCCCCCCACGTGTGTTCTCTGCCCGCCCCGCAGCCGGACCCCGAGAGC